GTGGCATGTGGATTTTCAGGGTGAAGCGGCCGCCGGGTTCTCCGCCTGTCTTCAAGGCGCGTTACGTTGCTCGAGGCTTCAGTCAGCGACAGGGAGTTGACTTCTTCCAGACCTTCTCCCCGACCCCGAAGATGACCACTCTTCGGGTTCTGCTGCACGTCGCTGCTCAGCGTGACTACGAGCTTCACTCTCTTGACTTCAGCACAGCTTTCTTGCAGGGCAGCCTACACGAGGATATATGGCTGCGCCGCCCACCTGGCTTCACTGGGTCGTTTCCTCCTGGTACCCAGTGGAGCCTCCGGCGACCAGTCTACGGTCTCCGCCAGGCGCCCCGTGAGTGGCACGACACACTGAGGACGACTCTTGCGGCTCTTAGGTTTGCTCCTACGACAGCTGACCCATCGCTGTTTCTACGCACCGACACTTCGTTGCCGCCGTTCTACATCCTCGTGTACGTCGACGACTTGGTCTTTGCCACTGCTGACACCGCTGGACTGGCCCACGTGAAGTCAGATCTGCAGAGGAGACACACGTGCACAGACCTGGGAGAGCTGCGCAGCTATCTTGGCTTGCAGATCACCCGGGACAGAGCACAGCGCACCATTATCTTGACTCAATCACACATGGTGCAGCAGGTCCTTCAGCGCTTCGACTTCCAGTACTCCTCGCCACAGTCCACTCTTCTGCCTACCGGTCACTCGCTCTCAGCTCTGCCTTTGGATGAGTCCGTAGAGCCGAGTTGCCCGTATCCAGAGATTGTGGGCTGCCTCATGTACCTGATGACTTGCACTCGACCTGACCTTGCTTACCCTCTTAGCATCTTGGCACGCTATGTTGTGCCCGGGAGACACCGACCAGAGCACTGGAAGGCCGCTAAGAGGGTGATGCGCTACTTGTGCAGTACGTCGGGCTTGGGGCTCGTGCTTGGAGGACGGGCGCGAGTTGTCCTCACTGGTCACGCAGACGCTTCTTGGATTGACGACTTGGCTACGCAGCGGTCGTCACAGGGTTACACCTTCAGCCTTGGCTCCGGTTCCGTTTCGTGGCGGTCCATCCGCTCGTCTTCTGTTCTCAGCTCCAGTTGTGAGGCTGGGGTCTACGCAGGGGCCATGGCTGCACAGGAGTTACGCTGGCTTACCTACTTGCTGATCGACTTGGGAGAGGCGCCTCGTCGTCCTCCAGTTCTGTACATCGACAACAAGGCCATGATTGCCTTGTGTTAGGAGCACAGACTGGAGCACAGAACGAAGCACATCGCTCTGCGCTACTTCCTTCCTCGAGAGTTGCAGCAGCGTGGTCAGCTTCGTCTTGCTTACGTAGCTTCTCGGGCCAACACTGCTGATATCTTCACCAAGGCACTTCAGCCTTGTGATCATCAGCGTTCTGTACTGTTCTAGGCCTTGTGCCTACTTTGCCTCACTTGCTCACTTCTTGACTTTGCCTGTACTTTGATATATATACTTATACCTGCATGCTTACACTTGCTAGGTTGTGATCATTGTACTGCTTGTTCTCCTATATATATTACTCTGCATGTGAACTGGCCTTGTGGACTTTTGCTTGTGCTCAGAATGCGTGGTGACTTCGTGATCCACCATGAGCTTGCTTTGCCTTTCTTGACTAGACTTGTGACCTCTTGTTCTCTCCCACTTTGCCTATGGGGGTGTGTCAAACTCATATGCTGCTTATTGTGTAGGCTGTAGTGGGGTAGCCCATATGGGGTACAACCAAATTAGGATTTCCTACTTGTACCCATCCTGCTACAAGTTCATCCATTCCTGTTCGTTATTCTGACATGCGCGGTAGTCGATGCACATGCGAAAACCTCCGTCCTTCTTCGGTGTGAATTGTATCGGTGCTGCGAAAGGTGACGAACTCGGGCAAATGAACTCCTTCTCGAGCAGGTAATCCAGTTGCTTCCTCAGTTCGTCCAGTTCATGTTGGGTCAGTCGGAACTGTCGCTGTTTTGTCGGCTGTGCCCCCGGTTCTAACTCTGTCCTGTGGTTGTGCGATCATTGAGGTGGTAGTCCTGTCAGCAGGTCGTCCGGGAAAATCCCATTGTACCGCTTCAGGAGCGCTGCCAAGTCATCCAGTACGTCGGCTAGCAGTTTCCGTATATCCCCCCCTTTGTCTGCTGCCTCGGCTTCCCGAATGTCGACCGCGTGCACGTCAGCTCCTGCCGCTACGGCGCGTTTCATCGTAATTGCGTTGACACGCACCGACGAAGACTCAAGCGAGCCCCAGCGAGATGTAGTCACACGTCGTCCAGTTGATTCATGGATTGTGTCGTCGCAGCCAATCACGACCGAGTAAAATGCCGATTCCGTCGAGGGTTCTCGCGAGCATTTCCTAACTAAACGTGAAGTTACCCCCGCATCGAATCTGAACCCGGTCTACGCGTTCCCGTATCGCCACTGGCGTGCCGTCAACCAGTCTTGCGTCGATCTCAGGTAAACATCTGTCCAGTGCCAGTCTCAGTTTCCGTGCTGTGGCGGTATTGATCAAGCTGTAGCTGGCTCCCCCGTCTACGAATATTTTAACTAAATCTGTCCCAATTTTTCCACTAAGAAGTACGGGCATGTCCACCGTAGTACCCTCTTTACTCGGCCGGGTGTGGTCAATTGCGTGAATCAGCACAATCCCTGCTGCTTGGTCTGTTTCTGCTGCTCAGCTTCCCCCTTTCCCTTAGCGTTTTCCATCCATTCGCTCTTACGGTGTCCCGGCCGATTGCACGCTAGGCAGCGCCTTTTAAACGGTGCGGCAGCGGCATTCGCGGCGACGGCACGTATCGTAGCGCCCTCGTTTGTCCCACGAGATCGATGTCCCCAGTTGCTGTTGCTTCCGTAGGATCCCGGTCTCGGTCGGCGAAAGAAGTCGAGCTTCTCAGCCATGGCGATAATTTCCTGGAAATCGGTGACGCCGCGGAGCTGAATTTTTTGGGCAATGTCGTGCTTCAGGCCGCCGATGTAGCGGTCGATGTGCTCACTTTCGTGCATGTAGCACACTTGCTCACACAGCGCCAGGAACCCGTTAGTGTAGTCTTGGATGGAACCGAGTTGGCGCCAAGTGCGGAGCTTCTGACGCGCCGCGATCGAAGCCGCAATTGGCTCAAATCGAGCGCGCAGACCTGCGCACCACGCGTCCCACATGCGATATTGGGGCACCTCCACGAAATACTACGGCGCCCAGGGTCCGGTTTGTCCTTCCCGTGTCGGTAGAGTCGCGTAGTCCATCGGCTTCATGACGATGACACGCCACCAGTCCATGGCGGGTCCTTGCAGCACCGACGCGGCGTAGCGAATCTTCGCCGTATCCTCCGAGACATAGTTGGCGTCGAAAAATACGTTCATCGTGAACAACCACGCCTGAACTGTAGGACCACCCCGTTGACTTGGGTCAAAGCATGGCAGACGTTGCGGCATTAGCGGCATCGGTGACGGCAGTGCCGAATCGTTGGTCGGTGCCGAAATCGTGACGCGCGACTGGCTCCTGGCCGCATTCGTCGCTTCGGGGTGTGTCGCGTCGTGGTCGTCGTCCCCGTCGTTGCGGACGGCGCCATCACTGGCCGCGCTCGCGGGTTGCCCCACACTTCCGTGCTGCGATGCCTGTGGTGCAGGTTGTCCCGGAGTGCCAGGTGCTTGTGATTGCGCTTGTTGTGCTCGTGGGACGTCATTTAGCAGGGACGTGCGTTCCGCCGTCAGCGCTGCGATTTCTTCCGAGTTTTCGTGGAGTTGGCGCAGCAGTTCGTTCAAGCGGTCCTGCGTAAGCGTGGTGACGTCGATGTGGTTGGCCATTACGAAGGGCGTCAGCTCAGCTTAGTCAAGGCGCAGTCGTGGCTGCACGCGTCTACGCGAGAAAGCAAGGACAGCGGCTCCTAGGTGCTAAGGAGCGTGAGTCCCTTCGAGTGAAAAAATCAAAAGTTGATTTCCTGGGGTGCGGAGATGCGCGGCCGAAAGTGGCTGTGATAACCAAGTGTTACGGGTGCAATGAATCGAGGTAGCGAGGATTGCACTAGAGTGTTCAAAGAGTACTAAGTATGAGCGAAGGCATGAGCGAATACTTATAGACGAAGACATGCAAACGGTAACGCGGTGCGTGCGAGCTAGTTAGTGCTACGCTGGCGCGAGGTTCGGGCTAGTCCTTAGCGTAGGCCGACTCGGCTGCTCTAGCAGTGCGAGGTTTGGTGAAACAGTGCGCGCGAAGTTGGCGAAGCCCCGTTAGTAGTAACGGGCGAACAACGGCTGCTGTTGTACGAGATGTTGGTGGTCGCGGTAAAAAATAGAAAGAAAATTCCTTACACTCGTACGTTTACCTGCAAGCTTTGGAAAGTACTCAATTTCATTCAGTTTGACTGAAATTTTTAACTAATATACTCGTTCAGATCCAAGCGAGAAGAGCGACAAAACGCACTCCCACTTGGAACCCTAACCCTGACCTTTAGCGCTTGTCCCACACATGTCCTAACTACCTGCCCGTTTCGTTTCCTAGCATGACCTATCGTCACCTGATGCTTCGGCGCTTTCTTTTCACATACACTGGCGGGCTCATCCCCCCCTCCAACCACACACTCCCCTTCCCGTGTCCCCCCGTTCCTCTGTTGCTCTGTTCCTCTATGCCTCCATTCCATGCCTCCCACCCACCCACGCTGCCACCTCAACCACATCTTCGAGCCTTCCCTACAACGGAACCCCATCCACGCACCTTGTTCCGAGATTTGCACGTGGAGCCGCCATTATGATTGGATAAGGCGTTGGGTGTCTTTATGTTTTACGGTTGTCAGTTGTGTGGAATAGTGTCGGCCTGGTTGTTAGTTATGGAACTGTCCCTCCGTTCGCGCCTGACGTTAGGTTATTGCTTAGCTGGCGAGTAATATTTATCGTAAGGCGTCAGTGTTTTTGTACGACTGAAGTTATTGCATACGTAGTCGTCGTTGTGCTACGTCATATAGGATGCAGAGGCTGGAACCGTGGTAGTTTAAGTTAAGTTATAATCGAGCCGCGATGTCTCGAGTCGTAACTGACGGAGACTTGAGTCCGCAGCGCCACTTTCCCCGAAACCGCGGTCCTGCTTACGTGTCCGCTCCTCGGGGAATCCAATACCCGGAAGACCTAATCTCCCCGACCAACGCTGGAGTTGCACCCGGCCGAGCGGGCGACCATGTGCGACGGCCAGCCGGTCGCACGCCGATTCGCACGGTGCAGGAGGGCCATCAGCTTACGGAAGGCGACGACTTTGCAGACAACCGAGGCGGCGGTCAAAGGAGAATAACGATCCCCGCTGGGGGTGGCGGCGGGGGAGGCGGCGGATATCACGGAAACACGTCACCGCTGCGCAATGCCATTCATGGGCGATCGGAGAGCCATTCGGGGGAGTCGGGGGAGCGAGGAGGCCGCGCGGAGCACGCGGGGGACCTTCAGCCGCGGCGGGCGGCGAGCTCCAACGAGGCGGGGTACGGCCGGCCGGCCGCGCTTCGCCTGGACGCCGACATGATCAAGGCCGGCAGGAAGGTCAGTCGCTGGCGCGCGTAGAACGGCGCGTGTTTGTGGCGTCTCGAAAGCAAGCATCGATATGGTTAAGGCAGGCGGGAAGGTCGGTCAGTTGCCGTGCTGCTGCTGGTACTTGCGGGTTCTTGCTTCTGCCTCTGCTTTTACTTCTGTTTCTTTTTATCTCGATTTCACATACAATTAGGGTATCCGGGGATAATTATGCTGAGTATGTTAAATGGCTTGAAGTGATTGCTGGTTGATATCAGACTCCCCGCTCGCTTACATGTGCGCGTCTCCTTGCCTTTTCGCGTTTCGTACGCGGCGGTCCCTATCACCGGCCCGTCATGGGTTTTCTGTCGGTCTCATCAGCCAGTCATTCTTTGCTTCAGCGATACCCGCCAGAGTAGCGTCGCCATGTTCGCCGCGTGAGAATGAACTCCGCGGTTCCTCTCGTGGGCTCCTCTCGCTGTAACCTGTAACACGCAGAATAGCTTTCGCGACTTTATCACTCGTCTTATCTCGCCCGTTTCTCCTTACCGTTCTCGTAGTCTCCAACACATGGGTGTGCGTGCGTTTCTTCAAGTCGGACTCTTTAAGTCACACGGTCATGCTTCTCGCCATTGCAGCCGCGACGTGTGTTTCCGTTACTTGAGCCAGCAAGCTGTTAGCCTTCTGTTAGCCTTCGACACGGTCCTGCTGTCTCTTCCGTTCAATTCAAATGCCTTTTGAGTCCACCCAAAAGTCGATTCGACATAGCTCTGCCTTGCTGTCTTGGTCGGCCAATCGTGACTGCGCGTACCCTAATGTTGCGCCGCTTGTTACGGCTGGGACGCTGTCTTTTAGGATCCGCAGGTGCAACCCCTAGCTTGCCTTATGTTGCTCCCATTCTCAGCCCTTCCCCCCCCGCCTCTCTCCCCCAACCCCCCACCCCCCATCCGCCTCGTCTTCACCCCGGCCTCCCTCTCCCCGCTCGCCTGACCGCTCACTCCCCGCCCTCCGCCTATACCCTCCACCTTGCGCCTATGTCTAATCTACGCCTAATATTTCTCTTCGCCTCTCCCCCTTCCTCCCCACTTCTTTTCCGCCAAACCCTCCGCCGCCCGTCCCTGCGCGCGCCAGGATTCGCTGAGTCCCCGCCGCATGGTAAAGGTCGCCACGCCCTCCGCGCAGCCCAGCGGCGCCGCTGTCCGCGCAGGGGGGGCAGGCGGGGGGCCCGGGGGCGGGGGCATCGGGGGAAGCTTCCAGGCGTCGCGGGGGGAGGCGGAGCACATGCGGCGGGTGGCGGAGCTGATGGAGGCGGTGCGGGAGAACGACGTTGACCTGGTCAACGTGGTCCTGCAGGAGGCGCCGTCCCGCACCGCCCTGCTCAACACTGTTTATCCAGGTAGAACCCGTCCAGGTGTATCTGTGCCCCCCCTCCTCCCATCGCCCCTACTCTCGCAATGCTTTTCCGTTGGCTACCACCACCCGCCCTCCCCCCCTGTCACAGCGTGGAAGCAGGTGTCGCACAAGGCAATGTGCACGTGAATTCTTGTCACCTCTCCACTCCCCGTCACCGCTCTACTCCCTCTCCCCCTCACCGCTTCACTCCCCACAACCCCCCTCAACCCCCATCCGACCCCTCCAACCCCCGTCTTCCCCCTTCTCCCCCCCGCCAACCAGCCTCCCAGCGCACAGCCGTGCACGAGGCGGTGGTGGCGTGCAGCACAGACGCCATCTTACTCACTTGCTCTCCTCATTTCTCCCCTTCTCCCCACCAGCCTCTCAGCGCACGGCGCTGCACGAAGGCGGTGGTGGCGTCCAGCACGGACGGGCTCTCACTCCTCTCCACCCACTCCAACCCCTCCCCCCCACCCCCAACCCCCACCAGCCTCGCAGCGCACGGCCCTGCACGAGGCGGTGGTGGCGTCCAGCACGGAGGCGGCGGGCGCGCTGCTAGAGTGGGGCGCTGACCCTGACGGCGGGCAGTCCGCGCAGGTGAGACGGCGGGCAGTCAGCGCGGTGCTGATGACGCAGGCAGTCCGCGGCCCTAGTGTGGAACGCTGACCCTGGCAGGGCGGTGGGCAGGCGGCGCAGTTAAGCTTGAGAGAGAGCGAGAGAGAGGGAGAGTGCAGCATGAGAGCAGCGTGAGAGCAGCGTGAAAGATGGTGGCGCTGCTGCTGTGGCTCGCTCCCCTCCTGTGGTCCACTCTGCTGCTCGTGCCTTCCCATCTCTCCCCTCGCCCCTCCCCTCCCCCCCTCTTCCCCTCCTCCACACAGATGCCGCCCATCATGTACGCGGTGCAGACGGGCAACGACAAGATGGTCACGCTACTGCTGTCGCACGGGGCGGACATCAACGCACAGGACGCCAAGCAGTACACGGCGCTGCACTACGCCTGCGCTGCCGGCCACAGGTAAGGTTGGGCTAGGTGCAGATGCGGTCATGGTGCACAGGCACAGGCACAGGCACAGGCACAGGCACAGGCACAGGCACAGGCACAGGCACAGGCACAGGCACAGGCACAGGCACAGGCACAGGCACAGGCACAGGTACAGTCATGAAGCGGTGTGTTACTAACGGGCCTCTGAACCATCAACGCGCAGGACGCCAAGCAGTACACCGCGCTGCACTACGCCTGCGCTGCTGGCCACAGGTGCAGTCGTGAGGCACAGGCGCGCTGGGAGGTGTGGTGGTGTGAGGCTCAGGTGCAGTAATGCGGCACAGGTTGCTGTGTTGCTGGTGGGCTCCTCTGAACCGTCAACGCGCAGGACGCCAAGCAGTACACCGCTCTGCTGCACTGCGCTACGCCTGCGCCGCCGGCCACAGGTACGGTCGTGAGAGTGTGTTGTGCTGGGAGTGTGTTGTGTTGTGACGGACAGGTGCGGGACTGAGGCACAGAATAGGTCCCACCGTCCCAGCCCATCCCAGCCCATCCCAGCCCAACCCATCCCATTCAAGGGGACGTAGCCGCCTCAACACCACACGCACCCCACTCCTCCCCCCAATCCCCTTCTCCCCCTGATCCCCTCTCCCCTCTCCTTTTTCCGCTCTCCCCTCTCCCCTCTCCCCTACCCCATCCTCCCCCAGGGGCATGATCAAGCTGCTGCTGGTGGCGGGCGGCAGCATGTACGCGCGCAACCGCGACGGCCTGTACCCCCTCAACCGTGCCTTTACCTCCCCCACCCTGTGCACAACCCAACCTCCCCCCTCCCCCCCCGTCCGCTCCCCCATCGTCAACCTCCCAGGGGCATAATCAAGCTGCTGCTGGTAGCGGGCGCCAACATGTACGCGCGCAACAGGGACGGGCTGTTCCTGCCTGCCTCAACCGTGCCTTGCCCCCCAATGCCCCCTCGTTCCCCCCTCGCCCTGTCCCCCTCCCCCTTCCCCCTCTTCCCCCAGGGGCATAATCAAGCTGCTGCTGGTAGCAGGCGCCAACATGTATGCGCGCAACCGGGACGGGCTGTACCCGCAGCAGCTGGCCTCGACGGACCGCATCCGCACGCTCTTCCGCAAGCTGCACGAGTACCACCAGCGCCACGGGCTCGTGGGCGATGGGGAGGGCGCGGGGGCGGGCGGAGGGGGCGCGGGCGGAGGGGGAGGGGGAAGGGGGTTGAGAGGGTCGCCGCCGATCTCCCCTGGGACGTCGGGGAGGATGAGCCCGCGGGATGTGGGCGGGATGGTGGATGCCGGGTGGGATGACGAAGGTGCGCGCGTGTGGTAACGGGGGGTGTGGGTTGGGTGGGGTGATTGATGGCTTTGTGGGGGAGAGGATTTTGGTGGGGCGTGGGGAAGGATGAGCATGCGGGATGTGGGCGGGATGGTGGATGACGGGTGGGATGACGAAGGTGCGCGCGTGTGGTAACGGGGGGTGTGGGTTGGGTGGGGTGATTGATGGGTTTGTGGGGGAGAGGATTTTGGTGGGGCGTGGGGAAGGATGAGCATGCGGGATGTGGGCGGGATGGTGGATGCCGGGTGGGATGACGAAGGTGCGCGCGTGTGGTAACGGGGGGTGTGGGTTGGGTGGGGTGATTGATGGGTTTGTGGGGGAGAGGATTTTGGTGGGGCGTGGGGAAGGATGAGCATGCGGGATGTGGGCGGGATGGTGGATGATGGGTGGGATGACGAAGGTGAGCGCGTGTGGGTGGTGGGGTGCTTGGGATGGGGGTGTGTGGTTGATGGGGTGTGTGGGTGTTGGGGTGTGTGGGTGATGGGGTGTGTGGGTGATGGGGTGTGTGGGTGGGGTGATGGGGGTATGTGCGTAAGTGGGGTGGTGGTAGGAATGTGTGGTATGTGGTAAGGAGGGTATGTGTGGGTGGGAGCGGTGATGGATCATGGAGGGACATATGCTTGAATGCAATCTTCTGTGCTCTCCTCCGCTCAGTTCCCGCCCTCCCCGTGCTCCACTCGCTTCCCTTCGCCCTGTATCTACCTCGTCACCACACCACACCACACCACACCACACCATATCTGCTTACTCGACTTTCTAGATGCCTGGGAAGTCGTTTCACTTTCCTCTGTGACCAGCTGACCGTCTCCTCAGATCTTATCCACTCTTTCAACCCGCTCATTGCTTCTCCCTGCCCCACTGTTCCCCCTTACCCCACTGCCTCTACGTCCTCCCCTGTCCCTTCCCCTTCCCCCTCCTACCCCCGCTTCTTCCCCTGCCCTTTTCAACCCCCCCACTGCCCCACTACCCCCCTGCACCCACTGCCCCCCGGTCGCCCCTTTCCCCCACCCCTCCCTCCCCTTGTCCCTCTATCTCCCTGTCTCCCCTCTGCCCCTCCCCCCAGTCCCCAACGGGTCATCAGTTCAGCAGCTTATCTCCCCTCGCGCCCTCGCCGCCCGCACGCGCCTGGGCGGCGGCGGCGGCAGCGCGCAGCAGCCGCCCGGGCGGCAGGGGCCGGCAGCGGGGCGGGGTGGCACAGGCAGCCGCTCTGCTGTGGAGCGAGGGAGCACCCGGGAGGACGATTGGCTGTCCCAGCCTCATGCACGTGCGAGGGGAGGGGGAGGCGGAGGCGGAGGGGGAGGAGGGGGCGGAGGGGGTGGGGACGGTGGGGACCACGCTGACGTGGAGAGCCCGCGTGATTTGCTGGATAGCAATGAGCAGATCTTCCTCCAGGCGTGGGAGAACGACCGTGATGACGACTCGCCGGCCTTCGCCTGGCCGGGCCCGGGGGGGGCAGCAGGGGGAGGCGGAGGAGCAGGAGGGGGTGGTGGCGGCGCGGGGAAGGACGAGCATATGGGGCCGGGAGGGGCAGGGGGAGGGGCAGGAGGGGGAGGGGGAGCAGCGGGGGGAGTGGCGGCGGCGGGGCCGGCGGCGTCGTTGGCGCGCAGGCACATCCGGGACTCGCGGACGCTGTCGGTGGAGTCGGGCGGGCAGCAGTACGCGCGGCGCATCGTGCAGGCCAACGACAGCAGCCTCTCCGATGCCGAGGCTGGCAGCTTTGGCACCCGCCGGCACACCGCAGGTGCGCTGCTGCTTCCCTCTGTTTTCCTGCAGCCCCTCTGCTTCCCCTGCCCCCCCCGCTCTGCACACTCTGCTCCCCTTCTTCCCTACTGCCGCTGCTTCCCTGGCTGTCGGTGGAGTCGGGTGGGCAGCAGTACGCGCGGCGCATCGTGCAGGCCAACAACAGCAGCCTCTCCGATGCTGAAGCCGGCAGCTTTGGCACCCGCCGGCACACCGCAGGTGCAATGTCTTTCTGCTTCCCTGCTTTCCCTGCTTCCTCTCTGCTTTCCCTGCTTCCTCTCTGCTTTCCCTGCTGCCTCTCTGCTTCCCCTGCTGCCTCTCTGCTTCCGTTGCTGCCTCTCTGCTTTCCCTGCTGCCTCTCTGCTTCCGTTGCTGCCTCTCTGCTTTCCCTGCTGCCTCTCTGCTTCTGCTGCTGCCTCTCTTGTTCCCCTGCTGCCTCTCTTGTTCCCCTGCGGCCTCTCTTGTTCCGCTGTTGCTCCTCTGCGCTCTGATCTCTCTGCTCTTTCTGCTTCTCTGTGCTCTCTGCTTTCCGTTCCTCTTGCTTATACTCCTTACTTCTCGGATTTCTCTTCTCCCCTGCTCTCTCTGCTGCACAACCCCCCTCTGTCAAAACCCCCTGGCGTTCAACCCCTTCTCCCCTCTCCCTCCACCCCCGATCCAGCAGGCGCGGCCATCACAACAGACCGGTCGCGTCTGGCCGCCCAGCCCCGCCCGCGCAACTTCGCTGACTTCCGAGCAGAGCGCCTCGTGGGGCAGGCAGCAGCAGGCGGGGGGGGAGGGGGAGGGGGAGGGGCAGGCGGAGCAGGGGGAACTGGGGGCGGGGGGGGACCTGGGACGCCTGGGAGAGGGGGCATGCGGGGAAGGTCCCCCTATGATAGCGTGGATTCGGCTAGCATGGGGAGGTTGGATTTGGGGGGCGGGGGTGGGGGTAGGCGGGGGTCTTTGGACGGGAAATCGTCTGGGGGAGGGGCGAGGGGCGTGGTGGATGTGTTTGGGAACCCGTATGGGGGGAGAGGGGGGCGCGCAGGGGATGTGGCGGGTGGTGGCGGGAGGGCGAGTTCGGACGATGAGCGGGAGGACGGGGGGTTTGTGCGGGGCGGGGCGGGGATGGGCGGGGAGAGGCGGCAGCATGGGGGGGGGGCGGGGGGGCGCGGGGGGAGGGAGAACATGTATGCATCGTGGAATGGTGCTGCGATGCTGGAGGGAGGAGGAGGTGGGGTGGGGGGGGCGGAGGGGCATAGTGGGAGGCTGCCTCGTGTTGCTGCTTCTGCGTCTGCTGCGGCAGCAGAGGATCGGGAAGGGGAGGGCGGGAGGCACGGGGACAGCGACAGTGACACTGGCAGGCGGCTTCCCAACAGAGCAGCAGCAGCAGCCGCAGGTGGGGGAGCAGCATCAGGCGCTGCTGCTGCCACTGGTGGGGGTGCAGGAGCAGGGGCAGGCGGAGGGGGGTCAGTGGCCGCGTCTAGGTCCCCCTCTGGGAGTGACTCTGCCAGGCGACCCGCCTCACTGAGGGTGGGGGAGCCGGCAGGATTTGAGGACGAGGGGGGTGTTGCACAGAAGAAACCGCTCACTCCCAGTGGGGGAGGAGGAGCAGGGGGAGGGGGAGCGGGGGGTAGTGGGGCAGGGCGGCCTAGGAGCCCGCTCAGAGGGGGGAGTGGGCATGAGGAGGGGCGCGGAGGGGGTGGGGGAGGGGGGAGCGGGCGGATGACGCCCAAGGGGGCGCGGGAGAGGAAATCAGTGAAATTTGCGCTGCCGACGGACGGGGAGGGGGAGAAGAAGGAGAAGGAGGGGGAGAGTGGAGGGGAGGAGAGGAAGGGCGGCGGTGGGAAGGAGGAGGAGAAGAAGGGAGGGGGGCAGGTGCCTGTGTCGCCTAGTAACAGACGGGCAGCAGCAGGCGCTGCAGCAGGTAGTGCTGTTGCTAGTGCCAGTGCCAGTGCTAATGCTAATGCTGGTGCGAGTGCTAGTGGCTGTGGCGGTGGCGGTGGCGGTGGCGGTGGCAGTGGCAGCGCGGGAGCAAGCACCCCCTCACCTGAGCAGATATCTGAAGAGGACCTGAAGCTCATCCGACCTGACTGGAGGGATGCTGCAGCCAGGGGCGGGTGTGTGGCGTGTGGGGAGCTGCAGTGTGACTGCCCCACCAACCCCAATAACCGGGATGATGCTGCTGGTGCTGGTGCTGGTGGGAAGAAGGCAGGGGATGGGGAGAAGAAGGACGGGGAAGTTAAGAAGGAAGGGGAGAAGAAAGAAGGGGGGAAAAAGGACGGGGAGAAGAAGGAAGGGGGGAAGAAGGATGGGGGTGAAGAGAAGGCATCACCGGCAGCAGCAGCAGCAGCAGCAGCAGCAGTGGGGGGGGGGGGGAAGGAGCTGATGGATGGGGAGCCGATGGCGCCCCTGGGCACCATGAAGTGGAAGCGGGGCGAGCTGCTGGGGGAAGGCGCGTATGGCAAGGTACGTGTCATTCTCAGCGTCATTGTGTGTGTCATTGTGCGTGTCATCGTGTGTGTCATTGTGCGTGTCATTGTGCGTGTCATTGTGCGTGTCATTGTGCGTGTCATTGTGCGTGTCATTGTGGGGGGGGGAAGGAGCTGATGGATGGGGAGCCGATGGCGCCCCTGGGGACGGTGAAGGGGAAGCGGGGCGAGCTGCTGGGGGAAGGCGCGTATGGCAAGGTGCGTGCATACGTGTGTGCTTCAATCTCGTATGGCAAGGTGCGTGCATACGTGTGTGCGTGTTTTACTCATTGCGTGCTTGTTACACTTGTCGCCTGGTTGTGACACCACTCCACAATGCCATGTCTCGCCCCCCTCCCCCCACCTCCAGGTCTTTTTGGGTCTAAACGAGATGACGGGCGAGCTGATGGCGGTGAAGCAGATCCAGATGACACCATCCCCCATTCCACCCCTCTCCAAGCCACTCCATCGCACTGCACTGTATCACTCCATCTTTCCCCTCTCCAGGTCTTTTTGGGGCTGAACGAGATGACGGGAGTGCTGATGGCGGTGAAGCAGATCAAGATGACGTCAGCAGGTGACAAGAAGGCGATGCACATAGCGGCGCTGGAGCAGGAGATTGTGCTGTACTGCCAGATGCGGCACTGTAACTATCCCACCCCCTCCCCACCCCTCTCCACCGCACTCCACCACGCTCCATCGTACTCCATCCCATTCCACCCCATTCCACCCTGCACCACCTCTGTAACCCCTCCAGGTGTTCCTGGGTCTGAACGAGATGACGGGAGAATTGATGGCGGTGAAGCAGATCAAGATGACGTCGGCGGGCGATGAAAAGGCGATGCACATAGCGGCGTTGGAGCAGGAGATTGTGCTGTACCGCCAGATGCGGCACCGGCACATCGTGGCATACATTGATATGGAGAAGGATGAAAGCGACGGGTCGCTCTACATCTTCCTCGAATTCATCTCCGGAGGCTCGATTCACAGGTGAGGAAGTGGGGGAGGGGAGGAGAGGGCGGGTTCATCCATCACAGGTGAGAGGTTGAGGGGAGGGGAGAGGGGAGTGGTTGAGGGTGGTGGATGGAAAGGTTTAGGGTTGTGGTATAGCGGCGTTGGAGCAGGAGATTGTGCTGTACCGCCAGATGCGGCACCGGCACATCGTGGCATACATTGACATGGAGAAGGATGAAAGCGACGGGTCGCTCTACATCTTCCTCGAATTCATTTCGGGCGGCTCCATCCACAGGTGGGGTTCAAGGGGGACTGGGGGAGGGGGGAGAGGGGGAAAAAGGGGTGGGGTGGGGAGGGAAGAGGGAGGGTCCATCCACATGTACGGGGGAGGGGAGTGATGGTTCAAGCTCTGCCTCTCTCCTCTTCATCTCCCTCTGCCTCTCTCTGCCTCTCCCCTCCTTCTCTGCTCCCCTCTTTCCTCCCCATCTCTCTTCCTTCCTCCCTCGTCCCCCACCGACCACAGCCTGCCGGACTAGTTTAGCAAGTTCTGCACGGCTTGCAGTACCCACTCAGATGTGATTTATGTGCCCTCATGACTCTTCCCACTCAGATGTGATTTATGTGCCCTCATGCCTCTTCCCACTCAGATGTGATTTATGTGCCCTCATGCCTCTTCCCACTCAGATGTGATTTATGTGCCCTCATGACTCTTCCCACTCAGATGTGATTTATGTGCCCTCATGCCTCTTCCCATTCAGATGTGATTTATGTGCCCTCATGCCTCTTCCCACTCAGATGTGATTTATGTGCCCTCATGACTCTTCCCACTCAGATGTGATTTATGTGCCCTCATGCCTCTTCCCACTCAGATGTGATTTATGTGCCCTCATGCCTCTTCCCACTCAGATGTGATTTATGTGCCCTCATGACTCTTCCCACTCAGATGTGATTTATGTGCCCTCGTGACTCTTCCCACTCAGATGTGATTTATGTGCCCTCATGCCTTTTCCCACTCAGATGTGATTTATGTGCCCTCATGCCTCTTCCCACTCAGATGTGATTTATGTGCCCTCATGCCTCTTCCCACTCAGATGTGATTTATGTGCCCTCATGCCTCTTCGCACTCAGATGTGATTTATGTGCCCTCATGCCTCTTCCCACTCAGATGTGATTTATGTGCCCTCATGCCTCTTCCCACTCAGATGTGATTTATGTGCCCTCATGACTCTTCCCACTCAGATGTGATTTATGTGCCCTCATGCCTCTTCCCACTCAGATGTGATTTATGTGCCCTCATGACTCTTCCCACTCAGATGTGATTTATGTGCCCTCATGCCTCTTCCCATTCAGATGTGATTTATGTGCCCTCATGCCTCTTCCCACTCAGATGTGATTTATGTGCCCTCATGCCTCTTCCCACTCAGATGTGATTTATGTACCCTCATGCCTCTTCCCACTCTCCCCACTCCTCTCCCCGTCTCTCTCCCCCTGTCTCCTTATCTATCTATCTGCCTCTCCATCCGCTCCTTCCTCTGCCTGTCTCCACCCCGTTCCCCTCCTCCCCCCCCATCAGCATGTTGGACAAGTTTGGCAATTTCAGTGAGTCCCTGGTGCGCGTGTACACACGGCAGCTGCTGCTGCTGTAACACCAACACGGCTGTACTAAGCTGATGCCCCTCTCTCTTCCTTTCCGCGCCCCCCCCATCAGCATGTTGGACAAGTTTGGCAAGTTCAGCGAGTCCCTAGTGCGAGTGTACACTCGGCAGCTGCTGCTGGGGTTGGAGTATCTGCACGGGTGCAAGATCATTCATCGCGACATCAAGGGCGGCAACGTGCTCGTCGACCGGGATGGGGTTATTAAACTTGCTGATTTTGGTGCTTCCAAGGTGAGGGGCGGAGGGCAGTTACAGCGGGCAGGGGTGAGGGGGGTGGTGAGAGCATGCTGAGGAATGGGGGGTTGGGATGGGATGGTGTGTGGTGTTGCTGCTGGGGCTGGAGTATCTGCACGGGTGCAAGATCAGTGGGACGGGCGAGGGAAGGGGAGCTGCAGGGCCAGTCAGTAGCAAGGAGAGGGGGGGAATGTGAGAATTATTTTGGAGTAAGAATCAGATCCAACAGAGCTATCTCAGTGGAGGTAACCGTGTATAGATCCGCTGAAATAACACAGTTGGGTCTGATTCTTACTCCAAAATACCTACTTCTCAGATCCCCCTCTCTCCTTGCTGCTGACTGGCCCTGCAGCCCCCTTCCTTCACCCATCCCACTCTCCGTCCTTCCTCCTCTCCCTCATCTTGCCCCTCTCTCTCCCCTATACCTCTCCCTAATTTATACGTGGGCAACGAGTGTAGGGTTTTTGCTCGACTCGTTCGAAATGCTCGTTGGGGGACGAGTGACGAGCCTGATTTTTTGGGAAAAAAACTCGCCCGAGGCGAGGCGAGTTTTACTCGACGAGTTTTATCTACTCGTCGCATGCTCGCCTTGGGGGACGAGCATTTTCGTGAAGATTACGTGCTCGACGAGTTTTTTTTACTCGCGGGCGATTTCGCCCATCAATCCGCGCGGATCGGCGATTTCGCCCGTCAATCCGCGCGGATCGGCGATTTCGCCCGTCAATCCGTGCGGATCGGTGATTTCGCCCGTCAATCCGCGCGAATCGGTGATTTCGCCCGTCAATCCGCGGGGTTCGCCGGCAATTGCGCTGCGAAGTCTGCCACTGGTCGTGTCAATCAATCACTACGCTCAGATCTTTCTTTTGGTCGAGCAAAACGAATATGCCTTTTCAACTAAATTGCCACTTGATCTCCCAACCAATTCGCCACCACTTACCTCTCTTCACCGCACTGAATCTACAAAACCCAACCACCAGATCCAGATTCAGATCCCGTCACTTCAGAAAGCCACATCGTTCCTTGCGCTTGCCAGCCTATGGCCCATCACACAACCTCCTTCCCTCCCCCGCTAGTCTACTCCAATAATCCCCACTTAGCTAGCTGGACGCGTCCGTGGTAACTTAGTGCTTGCGAGTGGCGAGTCGAGCATGTCTTGTGCTCGGACGAGCTTTCCCCTAAACTCGCCCGAGCATGCCCTAAAACGACGAGTCCCGAGTATGCAAAATGTTGAAAATTGCTCGTCAGAGTTTTGCTTGACTCGGAGCAAAAGCTCGTCGAGCAAGACCATGGACGAGTCGAGTATTGCTCGACTCGGCACTTTGACCATGTATACCCTAATTCCACTCCCTCTTCCTCTCCCTCCAAATTGATGCTCTCTCATGCTTCTCAGGCGTTTCACGAGGGCACTGTGGGCGAGGGGTGCAAGAGTATACGCGGGTCGGTGTTCTCGATGGTGCCCGAGGTGATCAAGGAGGAGGGGTACAGCCGCCACCCGCCACCCCCTTCCCACTTCTGCCCACTTATTTCCCCTTCCCTGCCTTCCCCCTTCCCCCTTTGTCCCCCTCCAGGCGTTTCACGAGGGCACGGTGGGCGAGGGGTGCAAGTCGATCCGCGGGTCGGTGTTCTGGATGGCGCCCGAGGTCATCAAGGGCGAGGGGTACGGCCGCCGCGCTGACATCTGGAGTCTCGGCTGCACCGTCATTGAAATGCTTACCGGCAGGTGAGGGGTGGGGAAAGGATTAGGTTTTTACCTAGGCTTTTACCTAGACTTTCACCTAGGTTTTCACCTAGGCTTTCACCTAGGTTTTCACCTAGGCTTTCACCTAGGTTTTCACCTAGGCTTTCACATAGGTTTTCACCTAGGTTTCCACCTAGGTTTTCACTTAGGTTTCCACCTAGGTTTCTACCTACGTTTTCACCTAGGTTTTCACGCTAGAGGGTTAGGGTTTCTCTTCCGCTCTCTCTGTCACCCAACCAACTCCACTCAATTCCCTTTTCACTCCTTTCCTCCCCCAGCCACCCATGGCCCAACATGGACAACACATGGTCAGCCATCTTCCAGATCGCCAAGACCACCTCTTGACCTTTCTCCCTGCTCCCTGCCTGTCCGCATCTCCCACCTCCCACCCAACCAAACCCCCCTCGCCCACTCCCCAGCCACCCATGGCCCAACATGGACAACACGTGGTCGGCCATATTCCACATCGCCAAGACCACCACGGGCCCGCCCATCCCAGAGGAGTGCAGCGATGAGGGCAGGGACTTCCTCGCCGCCTGCTTCAAGCTCGACCCGGGGGAGCGCCCCTCTGCCACTGAGGTGAGTGGGTCTGTGTGTGGGTGTGTGGGTGGGTGGGTGAGCCTGTGTGCTGCGTTAACCTTGAGTGTGCAGCGACGAGGGCAGGGACTTCCTTCCTCGCCGCCTGCTTCAAGCTCGACCCGGGGGAGCGCCCCTCTGCCACTGAGGTGAGTGGGTCTGTGTGTGGGTGTGTGGGTGGGTGGGTGAGCCTGTGTGCTGCGTTAACCTTGAGTGTGCAGCGACGAGGGCAGGGACTTCCTTCCTCGCCGCCTGCTTCAAGCTCGACCCGGGGGAGCGCCCCTCTGCCACTGAGGTGAGTGGGTCTGTGTGTGGGTGTGTGGGTGGGTGGGTGAGCCTGTGTGCTGCGTTAACCTTGAGTGTGCAGCGACGAGGGCAGGGACTTCCTTCCTCGCCGCCTGCTTCAAGCTCGACCCGGGGGAGCGCCCCTCTGCCACTGAGGTGAGTGGGTCTGTGTGTGGGTGTGTGGGTGGGTGGGTGAGCCTGTGTGCTGCGTTAACCTTGAGTGTGCAGCGACGAGGGCAGGGACTTCCTTCCTCGCCGCCTGCTTCAAGCTCGACCCGGGGGAGCGCCCCTCTGCCACTGAGGTGAGTGGGTCTGTGTGTGGGTGTGTGGGTGGGTGGGTGAGCCTGTGTGCTGCGTTAACCTTGAGTGTGCAGCGACGAGGGCAGGGACTTCCTTCCTCGCCGCCTGCTTCAAGCTCGACCCGGGGGAGCGCCCCTCTGCCACTGAGGTGAGTGGGTCTGTGTGTGGGTGTGTGGGTGGGTGGGTGAGCCTGTGTGCTGCGTTAACCTTGAGTGTGCAGCGACGAGGGCAGGGACTTCCTTCCTCGCCGCCTGCTTCAAGCTCGACCCGGGGGAGCGCCCCTCTGCCACTGAGGTGAGTGGGTCTGTGTGTGGGTGTGTGGGTGGGTGGGTGGGTGGGTGAGCCTGTGTGCCGCGTTAACCTTGAGTGTGCAGCGACGAGGGCAGGGACTTCCTTCCTCGCCGCCTGCTTCAAGCTCGACCCGGGGGAACGCCCCTCTGCCACTGAGGTGAGTGGGTGGGCGTGTGTGTGGTGTGTTGGTTTGTGTAGGTCTGTGGGTGGGCGTGTGTGTGGTGTGTTGCTTTGCTACTATGAGAGTGCAGCGACGAGGGCAGGGACTTCCTCGCCGCCTGCTTCAAGCTTGACCCGGGGGAACGCCCCTCTGCCACTGAGGTGAGATGTCCGTGTGAGTGGGTCTGTGTGTGGGTGAGAGAGGGTGTGCTGAATCTCACATCAGTACAAGCTCGAGTGGGAAGGCCGAAAACTCCTCGCCGCTTAATTCAAGCTTCACCCCGCACAGCGCCCCCGGCCTCCCTCCCTCCCTCCCTCCCTCCCTCCCTCACTCACTCACTCACTCACTCACTCACCATATCACGCACTGTGCGCCCCACTTCACTCCCAACCCTCCTTCCCGTGAGCAGCTACTACAGCACCCCTTTGTGCAAGTGCCCGACACTCCAAGGGAAGCTCGCGGGGGGTTCTGACATGCCCACCTGCCAGTCTGAGCCGCACTTACTGCACCGCACTGAACCCATTGGACTGACTCCAACAGCGACATCATGATAGTTTGCTGAGATTCAAGATTCAAAACATGGGGAGGAGGAGGGAGGAGGGAGGAGGAGGGAGGAGGAGGGAGGGAGGAGGAGGGAGGAGGGAGGAGGAGGGAGGAGGGAGGAGGGAGGAGGAGGGAAGGGGGTTCGGGGCATGCCCACCCGTCACCCATCCAGACTTCAGCCTGCTTGTGTGCTGCATGGCATGGCACTGGTGCACCCCTTGGGCGCTTTTGATTGGAGATGTCTCAAAGAGAGTTGGGTTATCTAGCTGAACGGCTTCTAAGGCGTATTTGGGCGGTGGGTGGGCACGCAGCACCGCACAGCACCGTGCAGCAGAGTGCAGCAGAGTGCAGCACAGTTCAGCACAGCACAGCACAGCACAGCACAGCACAGCACAGCACAGCACAGCACAGCACAGCACAGCACAGTACCGGACTGTTCAGCTTAGACCAGTCTCCGCAGCCTTGCCTTTCAAACCATCTAGTTTTCACACGTCACCATCATTCATCCGCACTTCCGTTCCACCTTCCCCAGCTTCTATTGGGCTAATACTTTGGGCTATCTTGCTCAGTCTCCCTTGCGCAAGCCGCATCGCATAACCTGGAAACACTGTACCTATTCCGCAAAGCCTGCCTTGACATTGTCAATCCTGACTGGTTGAGTCTCCCCGGCCATGCCTGTTCTCCCTCGCTGTTTTGTTTGTCCGCGTGTTTCTGTTGCTTGGCTTGCTGCCTACCTGGTTCCCTTTCACGCCAGATTGAGCCACTAAAGCCGTTACCATCTGAATCATATGAGGCTTATTAGCTTGATTCTCGTGTATCTGTGTTGGAGTTGCACTGAAATCTTTTATACACTTACCTTGAGAATGGAAAGAATGCTAGAATGTAACGGTTAACTATACGACAAAACTGATTGTGTAAATCTCATTTGAGCTGGTTCTATTTCCGGGTTCGAGTATCGAGACTACCATGTGGAGTATGGATGTAGACACTGACGAACCGCTTGCAGAACAGAAATACCTCATTGATACGAATTCATCCTAAATACCTCCTCATCATTCTTCTTTCCCAACCTCCAACGCACTCCTTAGCACCCGTAGCACTCCCCACCTCGTTCCTCTAATGCTCGCCGATTCTCGCGCCTTTCGTCCTGGCTCATTCGCGGACTCGTCACCGTCTATTTCCTTGCCATGCGCTGCCAGGATTCTGACACGTGTCCGAAGCCGTTACGTTCTCCACCGCTATTGCCTCCGCGGGTCGAGAGCTCGCGGCAACGGTCTTTCCAGAAGTTTTGTGGCTGAACGTTCACCTGCACTGTCAGCGGAATTCAGTAGCTTGAGTCCAGTTAGTTTAAGTTACAGTAGAACGTTTAGTTTCTCTCCTGAGAGCTCGCTGCTGTCCGTTGATCCTCTCTCTCGGCGTGCACTCGCCGGCGCAGCGAGCTCAAGTTGCGAGTTTAATCGGTGGAGAGCGGTAACTCAGAGCCTTCGCAACTTGGAGGTTCGATCTTCCTCCAATCCACAAATCCGACGATTTAGCCTCGTTTCGCGATTATCGTACACTTTCACGGGTCGGCCTGGCCGGAAACCGTTATCGAGACAGCTCTTGGCGGGGATTTCCGCGTCTGGACCTGCTGGCAGTATGAGCGAACCGGACGAGCATGATCATTCGCCACGTGGCAAGCAGGATCATGAGGTGACACGTGTCTACGTGGTGTCGGACATTCACACGGATCACGCGGAAAACATGGAGTGGGTGGAACGGCTGGCGGCGACACGTCAGCGGTCGGAAGGTTCTGGGAAGGGGAGAGACGTACTCATACTGGCAGGCGACGTTACGGACAATCTCGAGGTCAGGTGGGTCGTTAGGTAAGTCCTCAGGTGAATTCCGAGATGGAAATTCAGTTGGCGTAGTACCATATTGGAAGTCCTCTTGCGAGGTGAGGTTTTTCTTGATGGTTTTTGGACGTCAGTCTGGTGAGTCATCCCCTGAATCGTCAGGTGAGTCGTCAGGGTGTCGTCAGGTGAGTCATCAGGTGAGTCTCTGGGTGCAAATTTTGTAGACTATTCATTGCAGCATTTGTTTGCAATCTCCTCGAGCCAGGCACTCTCCCGTCCCTCCAGTCAGCCAATCTCTTGCCCGTCCCTCTAAACCACTCGCCTGTCTCTATCTCTCCATTCATACCCCTCTGCTCGTTGTCGTGCCTTGCAGGTCCTATCACGCACCTTCCAGCTGCTGACATCCGCCTTCCACCACGTGTTTTTCATCCCTGGTAACCACGAGCTCTGGTGCCGCCACCATGACCATCATACCGACCACCATGACCATCATACCCACCACCATGACCACCATACCCACCATACTCAGCACAGCCAGCACAGCAACCACGAACGCCATGAAGATCGCAATACAGGGAGCAAAGGGGACGAACTGCCAGATTCCTCCTCTCCGCCCTCCCCCGAGCCGTTCACCTCCCTGCACAAGCTGACAAAGGTGCTACAGTGCTGCGAGCAGTGGGGCGTACGCACGGAGCCGTTGCAGGTCGGCAACGTTTGGATTGTTCCGCTCTGGTCGTGGCACCACCAGGTAACAGGGCATTTGTTGAGAAGGGATATGTGCGTGTGACTGCACATTCACTCTGCTCGTTGACTTTTGAGTCGACTCAAAAAGTCAATTTGTTGAGAAGGGATACGTGCGTGCGTGTGACTGCACATTCACTCTGCTCGTGCTACCACCGCTTGCACCCCCTTCTGTCTGTTCCTCTGTGCTCCCTCATGAGTGCTCTTCTGTCCGTCTCACATGTGCAGAGCTTCGACACCGAGCCTGACATTCCGAACCTCCGACTGCCATCACTGCGTAAGGTGGGAAACTCCGCCCTCCCCTCCTTTCTCCTTGCCTTTTTTCGCCTCTCCTCGCCTTTGTTCCCGTGTGCCTCTATTCGTCTCTATTCGTCTCTATTTGCCTCTATTCGCCTGTATTCGTCTCTATTCGCCTTAATTTGCCTGTATTCCCGTCTGTGCCCCGTCAGGCTTGCATGGACTACCGAGTGTGTGTCTGGCCGCCCCACCTCACTCCCTCTCACTCCCCTCCTCCCTCGCCCCCCCCTCCTCCTCCTCACTGCACGTCACCGCACCAGTCTCCTCCTCACCCTTGCACTCTCTGGGAGACGGAGGTGACGCTTTGGCTGCGCATTTTGATGGTCTGAATGAGAGGCCGCTGCTGCAGCTGGGAACACAGCACCCTCACCTGTTTCCTGCTCTGGTGCTGGCATCACAGCAGCAGCAGAAGGCAGCACAGCAGCAGCAGAAGGCAGCACAGCAGCAGCAGAAGGCAGCACAGCAGCAGCAGAAGGCAGAGCAGCTGCCGGTGGTATCAAAGCTGCAGGTGGCAGCGCATCACACCCGTGCGTTGGCTTCTGCTGCTGTTACTGCTGCCCCTGCCACCAGCACTCCCACTGCCGTTGCTGTCAGCTTTGGAAGCACTGCTACAACTGTCAGCAGCAGCAGTGGCTCCCAAGTTGCTCTGAGCAACAACAGCACCACATACAGCAGCCTTGCCGGCAGCAGCACCACAAGCAGCACGAGCACATCTGCTCCTGTCTCGCCCCGTGCGCCTGAGGGCAGTGCTGCTGTGCCTCTGGGTGGCAGTGGTGTGGCGGGCAGTGGAGCAGAGGGGACTGTGGAGGGCAGTGGAGCAGAGGGCGTGCAGATCATCTCCTTCTCTCACTTCCTTCCCAGGTGTGCATGTACGCATGCTTGCGTTGATGTGTATGCACCTGTAGGGTTTTGAAGTCTCCCAACCTCTACAGCTGTTTCCCGGCCTCCCTTTCTCCTCGCCATCCCTCAACATTCCTCACCTTTCTGCACACCTTCCAATCCCTTTAAAACTGGCCTCTGACCTGAAAAGCGCATGCTTCCTCTTGATACCCGAAGAAATTATTTGCCCCTTGCGAAGAGCATGCACCTGTATCTGACTCGCTCAAGCTGCTAACCCCCCACTTTAAATCTCCCTTACACCCACTGTGTCCCCCTGGTCCTCCCAATCCCCTCATGACCATTTTGAGGCGCCTCAAAATGCACCTCACTACACGCTGCTACCCCCCCCCCTTTAAATCTCCCTTACACCCACTGTGTCCCCCTGGTCCTCCCAATACCCTCAGGATCATTTTGAGGCGCCTCAAAATGCACCTCACTACACGCTGCTAATCCCCCGCCTTAAAATCTCCCTTACACCCACTGTGTCCCCCTGGTCCTCCCAATACCCTCAGGATCGATCTGCTCTCGAAGAAGCGCATGCTGCTCTACTGAGAAGACATATTGCTGTATCCGAATCTCTAGAGCTCTTTTCCTTCTCCCTTTGCCCCACCCACCACATCCTGTCCCCCTGGTCCTCCCCATACCCTCAGGATCGATCTGCTCTCGAAGAAGCGCATGCTGCTCTACTGAGAAGTCATATTGCTGTATCCGAATCTCTAGAGCTCTTTTCCTTCTCCCCTTGCCCCACCCACCACATCCTGTCCCCCTGGTCCTCCCAATACCCTCAGGATCGATCTGCTCTCGAAGAAGCGCATGCTGCTGTATGCTCTTTCCCTCAGGGAGAATTTCCCCCAACCAACTAGTGCTATCTGCTCCCCTTCTTCCTCCCAACCACCCCAACCTGCCCCTCCCCCCCCCCTTTTCCCTTACTATGAATCCCCTCAGGATCGATCTGCTTCCCGAGAAGCGCATGCTGCTGTATCCGAATCTCGCCAAGATGGCGGGCTCCCATTGGCTGGAGGCGCGTGTGCGGTCCGTGCACGGGCCACGTGGCGGCCCCACAGCGTGCCACGTGTTCGGGCACACACACTTCCACTGGGATTCGTGGGTCGATGGCATCAGGTTGGTGGATGGCATCAGGTGGGTGGGATGGCATCAGGTGGGTGGGGTAGCAGCATGCGTGCAAGCAAGCAAGTAACCATGTGCAAGGTGTTAGCGATGCCAACTTAAGAGGCTCCAAAGACCTCAGGCACTCACACTTCCACTGGGACTCGTGGGTCGGTGGTATCAGGTGGGTGGCATGGCATCGGGTGGGCAGCATGGCATTAGGTTGCATGGTGGCATGGGGTCATGCAACTATGCACCCATGCAACCATGCACCCATGCAACGTAGCAACCGATGTGCAGCTTCAAAGTGCCATCAAAAGTGCCCCAAAAGTTTCGAGGCGCCTCAGAACCACCCCTTGTGCAGCTCCGAGTTGCTCTAGATGTTTCAAAGTTTGTCCCACATTGCCCTCCCAAGACGCGTCAACATCCATTCCCGTGTGGCTATGCCCACAGGTACGTACAGGCCCCTCTGTGCTACCCCCGGGAGAGAGAGCGGAGGCGACAGGCTGCTAGGAGTAGTGGCAACGGAAGCAGCAGCAGCGGCGGCGGCGGCAACGACAGCAGCCCTAGCAATGACAGTGGCAATGGCAGTGTGAAGCAGAGCTCAGATGATCCGTGGCTGCCGTTTTTGCTGTACGATTCGTCGACAGGCGGGCTCAAGACAAGTTTGCTGCAGAGCCATTGGTCCAATTATTATCGGTCGAATCCGAGGCAACCGAATGTGACTGAGCTGGCGCCTTGGGTTGCAGCAAGATATGCAGGCAGAATGCGGATGGCTGGAAGAAAAGAAACTAGGAGCTGAGGACTACCGGTTGCATATCTATCAGCAGTTGGATACACTAAGAGTAATTTTGTATGTGAAAGTGACACTCTATGATGTACCATCCAAAATCGGCTTTCTCAAGAGAAAATGCAGCATTGAAAGGTGTAAGGAATTTTCTCGACATTCCTTACCGCGACTATCCACAACGCGTACAGCAGCAGCCGTTGTTCGCCCGTTACTGCTAACGGGGCTTCGCCAACTTCGCGCGCACTCTTTTACCAAACCATGCACCGCTGGCCTGGCCGAGTCGGCTACGCCTCGGGACTAGCCCGAACCTCGATGCCAGCCTAGCACTAGCTAGCTCCCACGCACTGCCCGTTGCATGTTTTCGCACATAAGTAATCGCTCATGCCTTCGCTCATACTTCATACTTTTGACCCACATAGTGCAATCCTCGCTACCTCGTTCTATTGCACCCGTAACACTTTCCTCTTTCGGACCGCGCTGCGCGCATCTCTGCACCCAGGAATTCAACTTTTGATTTTTGCTCGAATGGACTCACGCCCCCTAGCCCCTAGGAGTCGTTGTCCTCGCGTTCTCTCGTAAACGCGTGCAGCCACGACTGCGCATAGAGCTAAGCTGAGCCGACGCCCTTCGGAATGGCCGAGCATATCGACGTCACGAGCCTTACGCAGGAGCGCTTGAACCAATTGCTGCAGCAGCTGCATGAAAGCTCCGAAGAAATCGCGGCGCTGACGGCAGAACGAACGTCCTTGCAAAATGACGTCGCAAGAGCACAACAAGCACAATCGCAAGCACCATGCATACCGGGACAACCCGCACGACAAGCATCACAACACGGAAGTGTGGGGCAATCCTCCAGCGCGGCTAGTGATGGCGTTGCCCGCAACGACGGAGACGACGACCACAGCACGACACACCCCGGAGTGACGAATGCGGCCAGAAGCCAACCTCGCGTCACGATTTTGGTGCCGACCGGCAAGTCAGCACTGCCGTAGCACTGCCGTTGCCGATGCCGATGCCGCCAAAGCCACAGCGTCCACCTTATTTTGACCCGAGTCAACGGGGTGGTCCTACCGTTCAGGCGTGGTTGTTCACCATGAACGTTTTCTTTGACGCAAACTACATCTCGAAGGATATGGAGAAGATTCGTTACGCCGTGTCGCTGCTACGAGGACCCGCCATGGATTGGTGGCGCGTCATCGTCACGAAGCCGACGGACTACGCGACTCTACAGACACGGAAAGGACAAACCGGACCCTGGGCGCCGTCGTATTTCGTGGAGGTGCCCCAATATCGCACGTGGGACGCGTGGTGCGTAGGTCTGCGCGCACGATTTGAGCCAATTGCGGCTTCGATCGCGGCACGTCAGAGGCTCCGAACTTGGCGCCAGCTCGGTTCAGTCTAGGACTACACCAGCGGGTTTCTGGCGCTGTGTGAGCAAGTGGGCTACATGCACGAAGGCAAACGCATCGACGGCTACATCGGCAACCTAAAGCACGAGATCGCCCAGGAAATTCAGCTCCGCGGCGTCACCGAATTTCAAGAGATTCTCGCTATGGCGGAGAAGCTCGACTTCTTACGCCGACCGAGACCGGGGTCCTACGGAAATAACAGCAACTGGGGACATTGGTCTCGTGGGACGAATGAGCACGTCACGATACGTGCCGTCGCAGCGAATGCCGCTGGCGCACCGTTCAAAGGGCGCTCTTTTGCGTGCAATCGGCTGGGACACCGCAAAAGCGAATGCCCGAAAAATGCTAAGGGAAAGGGGGAAGTTGAGCAGCAGAAATAGACCAAGCAGCAGGGAAACGCTGGGAATCAGTAGCAGTCGGGCCCTCTACTGACAGGTCACTCCGCTCGCCCGACCCAACCGACCCTCACCGACTGATTGTGCCGGTTCATGCAATCGACCACACCCGGCCGAATAAGGAGGGTACCGCGGAAGATAGTGTCAGAATCCCAGCCACTAACCACTTGGATACAAGGGCTTGTTTGTGTAGCGGCTGAGTGCGCCCATAACCCCCTAGGCCGACGTGCCTGTAACCCTTCCCTGGGATCAATCGGGGATCTCGAGTGGACCTCTGACACCCCCCCGCACTGGGACGCCCGAGGTGCACACACCGAGATTCGAACCTGAGACCTTCGCTCTGATACCATGTCAGAATCTCAGTCACTAACCACTGGGATAAAAAGGTTTGTTTGTGTAACGGGTGAGTGCGCCCATAACCCCCCCGACCGACGTGCCTGTAACCCTTCCCTAGGATCAATCGGGGATCTCCAGTGGACATCTAATAGATAGCCCCATACTGCTTAGTGGGAAGAGTGGGACGGACTTAGTTAAAATCTTTGTAGATTGAGCCAGCCACAGCCTCATCAGCACTGCCACAACACGGAGACTGAAACCGCCACTGGACAGGTGTTTACCTGAGCGACGCAAGATTGGTTGACGGCACGCCACTAACAATACGGAACGTGTAGACTGAGTTCGGATTTGATGCGAGGTAACTTCACGCTTAGCCAGGAAATGCTCGCAACGACCCTCGACGGAACCGACATTTTACTCGGCCGTAATTGGCCGCGACGACACAACCCGCGAATCGACTGGACGACAAGTGACTGCACTGTGCGAGTGAACGGTAACAACATCGCCTTACCTCGCTGGAGCTCGCTTGAGTCTTCGTCGGTGCAAGTCAGCGCGATCACGATGAAACGCGCCGTAACGGCAGGAGCTGACGTGTATACGGTTGACATTCGGGAAGCCGAGGCAGCAGACAAAGGAGGGGACTTACAGAATCTGCTCGTCGACGTACCGGATGACTTGGCAGCGCTACTGAAGAAGTACAGTGGGATTTTTCCGGACAATCTGCCGACACGACTGCCACCTCAGCGACCACACGACCACATAATAGAACTAGAACCGGGGGCACAGCTTACAGTACAACGACAGTTCCGACTGACCCAACCCGAAATGGGCGAACTATGGAAGCAGCTAGATTACCTGTTCGAAAAGGAGTTTATTCGCCCGAGTTCGTCACCGTTCGCAGCATCAATATTGTTCACGCCGAACAAAGATGGGGGATTTCGCATGTGCATAGATTACGGCGCACTGAACCGAGTTACCATCAAGTCCCGTTACCCCATCCCGCGAGCCGACGAACTGATCGACCAACGGCGCATAGCCCGGGTTTTCTCGAAAATCGACCTTCGAGGAGGCTACCACCAGATCCGTGTCAACCCGCCCGACTGCTCGAAAACCGCCTTCCGAACACGCTATGGATCATTCGAATACACGGTAATGCCATTCGGACTGACCAACGCCCCCGCCACACTCCAGATGACCATGAACGAAGCCTTCCGCCCGCTTTTAGATAAGTGCGTCGGCGTGTACTTAGACGACATACTGATCTACAGCACAGAATGATCACCGCACCTACGAGACATCGAAGTTGTTTTCAAAATACTGAGTGAGAACCGCCTACTCACGAAAGCCACTAAGTGTGAGTTTCTACTGGACAGACTGGAGTTTTTGGGGCACATCATCTCGGCTAACGGAGTGGAAATAGACCCGAAAAAAACCTACAAGCATGGCACGCGCCGATAAACTTGACCGAGTATCGGAGTTTTCTGGGATTCGTCAACTACGTGCGACGGCGAAGTTGACTGCCCCGTTGACCAACCTGCTGAGGAAGGGGGTTGAGTACACGTGGAGGGAGAAAAAGCAAGCTGCCTTCTCGGCCCTCAAAAATAATTTGTGCTCGCCGCCCATGTTTCGCATCGTAGATCCTCACCGACCGTTCGAGCTCGTCACCGACGCAACCAATCGCCTACTGTGGGAGCAGTACTGTTGCAGGACTTCGGGAACGACCTTCAATTAATCGCCTACGACTCCCGCAAACTTCACCCACACGAACGCAACTGCCCGATACACGACCGCGTGATGCTGGCGATCGTGCACGCGTTCAAGGTGTGATGGTGCTACTTGACAGGAGCCGACGTGACATTACGGACAAACCATCATGCACTACAGTATCTCCGCACCTAACCAAACCTCAATCCGCGACAGATTCGCTGGTTGAACTATCTAGAGTCCAACTTCCACTACACCGTCACGTACAAAAAAGGGTGCATCGAATATCGCCGATGCACTCACCCGCCCCACCTCCCAACTTCATGCAATCCTATCTGCCCAAACCAACCCACTGTTAACAGGCCTATTCACCCACGGATACAACACCGACCCATTTTTCACGACCGGAAATTCGCAGCAGCTAACAGAAGCTAAGGGAGTGTACTACGTAATGTCAGAATGTTATTATCTAGCCTGTAGTGGGGTGCTCTATAGCGAGTACAACCCTGTTAGGGTTTGCTATATGTATCCCAACTGCTGCTAGTGAAACCCTCCTTTGTTCGTTTCTCTCTTGCCTAGCTAGCTAAACCCTAGCTATGGCTCCTCACTATGCTTACTCCTGTGACATGCTATCAGAGCATCTACGCTCCTGGCCTGTGGGCCCACCTAACTGCTTCTGCTGCTACTCTGTGTGTTGCACGCCCCGTGGCGTGCGACGGATTTTTCTTCCCGCCGCGCGCTCGGAGCGTGCGGCGGTTTTCTGCCCGCCGTGCGCCCCGAGGCGCGCGGCGGTTTTCTGCCCGCCGTGCGCCCCGGGGCGTGCGGCGGTTCTCTGCCCGCCGTGCGCCCCGGGGCGCGCGGCGGCCTTCTACCTCGTCGGTCCGCGCGTCGCCCCCGGGGGGCGCTTCGACGGGCGACGGGGACCAGCCCGTCGTCCCCCGTCGCCCGTCCCGGCCAGCGCGAGCTGCACTAGCCCCGGGCGCGGCCCGTACGGGCTGCGCCCGGCCCGCGCGCGGCCCGTACGGGCTGCGCCAGGCCCGCGCGCGGCTCGGGCCGCCTGCGCGCGGTTCGTCGGGCTGTGCCAGGCCCGTGGGCGGCCCGTTCCTCTCTGCCCCTGAGCTGCTCGCTGTCCCCCGTGCTTCTGACGGTGCCCCACCCCTACTGCTGCCCGTTCTCCTGAATCAGGGTTTGGGGGTGGGGGGTATGGGGGTGCAGTTTCTGTGCGCCGTTCCACTACTTCTCCTCCTCCTCCGTCTCCCGCTGCTGCAGCTGCCGCTCAGGGGGGTGGGTGTGTGGGAGCCGAAGGAGTGGTGCTAGGGGGGTGACGTGGGAGTGGAGTTAGGGGTTCAGCAGGGGGTGTGTGTCAAGGGTGTGGGTCAGTTGGAGGAGGTTGTGTGGAGGTAGCTGTCGTGTCGCCTGCAGCGCCTGTAGTCCGTCGCCCTTGCTTCGGTAGCCAGTGAGCCTGTTGCACCAGTCGCCAGTGGGTCCGTTGCTCCTGCCGCTCGTCTTAGCCGCGGAGCCAGTCACTCCAGTAGTCCGTCGCCCTTGCTTCGGTAGCCACTGAGTCAGCCGCTCCTGTGCCCGTGCCTCTGCAGCTTCAGTCGTTGCCTCCCATCTTCTCTCCTTCCACAGTTCCTCCTCCTCCTCACTTGCCCTCTGTGATAGCCTCTAGCTTTGCTTGCATTTGTGAACCTGCTCTATGACTGCGTGCTCTGCTGATTACACCCCACTTTGGCTATGGGGGTGTGTCAGAATGTTATTATCTAGCCTGTAGTGGGGTGCTCTACAGCGAGTACAACCCTGTTAGGGTTTGCTATATGTATCCCAACTGCTGCTAGTGAAACCCTCCTTTGTTCGTTTCTCTCTTGCCTAGCTAGCTAAACCCTAGCTATGGCTCGTCACTATGCTTACTCCTGTGACACGTAAAAGCCGATACAAATCGCATCTACGTACTAGCGTACTCACTACTGAGGGAACTGCTACTGCACGAGGCACACGGCAGGGTTACCTTAGGTCATTTCGGGGTTAAAAAAAACGCGGCAGCAGCTGCAGCAGTATTGCTACTGGCCGGAGCTGGTGACTGACGTACAACACCACGTGGGGTCGTGTCCTACGTGTCAGGTGATGAAGGCGAGTCAGTTGCAACCGACTCCACCGCCCGCGAGCGCGCCTGGCAGCAGGTTACCATGGATTTCGTCACGGTGTTACCTCCGAACCCTACGGGTAACGACACGGTTATGGTCGTCGTTGACAGGCCGACGAAAATGGCCCACTTCGCTGCGTGCAAAAAGTCGATCTCAGCCGAAGAAACCGCTCGCTTGTTCATCGCAACCGCCGTTTAACTGCACGGGATACTAGCATCGATAATCAGCGACCGCAACACGAAATTTTCCAGCAACTTCTGGAAGAACCAGACCATGCTATAGTTCAGCTCATCGTACCACCCCGAGACCGACGGTCAAACGGAGCGGACAAACCAGATCATGGAACAATTGGTTTGTGCTACGTGCGACGATTCGACAACTTGGGAGCAGCAGCTGCCGCTGATCGAGTTCGCCTATGATAACGCCACGTCAGCGACAACGCAGCAGTCCCATTTCTACCTAAACTACGGGCAAAACCCAACAGTGCCCATGGCGCCGAGTCCAAACAACACCACGCCACGCACACAACAGTTCACCGAGATCCTGCAAGTTGCCCGAACGCGAGCAGCAGAAGCAACTAAAAAAGCCAACGTCATCGCAAAACGAATTGCTGACTGCCATCACCGCCCAGTCACGTACCAGTCAGACTGCTCGATACACAGAACTTAAGACTGCCCGTCGTACCGACAGGCTGGTACATCGGCCCATCATTCCACGTCAGCCTGCTTCGCCCATACATTCCAACCACAAGTCAACCATGCACCGCTGGCCTGGCCGAGTCGGCCTACGCTCCGAGACTAGCCCGAACCTCGATGCCAGCCTAGCACTAGCTAGCTCGCTGTGTTTTCGCACATACGTATTCGCTCATGCCTTCGCTCATACTTTGTACTTTTGACCCACATAGTGCAATCATCGCTACCTCATCCATTGCACCCGTAACACAAGGCATACATGGAATGTGCATACCCCTCGTTGGTGTCATATCCCTTTTTCACTTTGAGATAATGGAAAATGCAGTTTGGTTGTAACTTTCCGTGTTTAGCGGCGCGGCGGCTACCAGAGTTGGAGGTAGTATCTGAAAGGGTAGGCTTTAGGGAATGCACCAATCACAGAAAACGAACCGGTTACTTGAGATTGCTGCCTGACCTATCTGGCTGCTCAGTAGAGGTCTCACATTCTAGGTTCGGGCTCAGTAGATATGCCGGCCCCGGACTTGACCTGGACGGCTTTGATCAATGGCGAGGTTCGGCAAATGGCTTGGGTTCCGCAAGGCGGGTCACCTGGACACACAGCCCAACTTTGCTTGTGAGCGACACTATGCGATTTGTCCTTCCCCGAAAAGAGCGATGTAGCGAAGCGTCGCATCACAGGGGAAGGCGCCGCCGACCTCTTTCCAAAGTTACCAATTCAAATCTCCAGGATAAGATCGATCCGATAGACAGATTTGACGAAAGATCCAACGGTCAGCGTCCCTCTTTCCCCACCTTTCTGGATTTCTCGAGACTGACGAAGCAGCAGCAGCAGCAGCGTCACACCACCAACTCTCAAGAAACGGAGCAGATTGGGAAGCGTGAAAAAGCAGAAAAGAGCATGAACACCAGCGTGCTTCACAGCGGTTCATAAAAATACAGCTCGGTTCCAAAGCTTTTGCCTCGGCGGAGTTCTGACAAAGGTCGAAACAGCAACTTGGTTTGGGTAGCTTTTTCGCCTGCCTGGTCAGACGCAGGCTGACCTGGAGCTCGCTCAACCACAAGCAAGAACAGAACACCTCGCCATCCTTCCAGGTCTCTCATTCATTCCTGCGCATTCGGCAGTCTAAGGAGCTCTTATGCGCAATTGCTTCGTCGATTATCCGTCTTAGTTCTCATTCCTTGCAATCTCTTCGTCGATTATCCGTCTTAGTTTTTTATTCCTTGGTACTCGGCCAAAATGGGTTGGTTTACGAACCCGTCTACTTCCGCGTTAGTCTCCGTCCAAAGAGCATTCGGGAGACACCACGGACGGAGCAGCGATGGACCGGATCCCGAAACAGCCGCCGCCGATTCGCACGGCGGTCGCGAAGTCGCTGCTTCGTCACCCGCTCGTAACGTGGTTCACAGCTCTGAGTCCCTGGGACAAGCCAGTCGCGGATCGCTGATGGAAATATCCTCCGACGCGGGAGACATTTCTCCAGAGAGGGGTTTACCCGATTTACCCGAGGATGGCGGTAGCAGACGTTCGTCGGTCTCCGAGGCTGCAGCGGAAGGTACTCAGGCGGAAGTGGAGGAGAAACAACGTCTTCTGGCCGGCTGGCGTCGCGTGCCGCACAACAAGTCGCTCGACGACCTACACTCGTCCGTTTACGTACCACCTCCCGAATCGGCCTGGTACTACAAGCTCTTCGCGTTCACCGGCCTTGGATTCGTCGTCAGCGTGGGATACATGGACCCGGGAAACTGGGCTACGGACATTGCGGGAGGGTCGGCGTTCGGATACACGCTGCTATTCGTCGTGCTCATGTCGTCCATCTGCGCCATGTTTCTCCAGAGCCTGTCTTTAAAGCTCGGCGTCGTCGGCGAAAGGGACCTCGCGCAGGCCTGCCGCGACGCGTATCCGCGCTACGCTAATCTTACTCTCTGGATTCTCGCCGAAATCGCCATCGCCGCTACCGATCTCGCCGAAGTTATTGGATCCGCGACCGCCATGTACCTTCTCTTCGGCTTACCTTTGTGGATTGGCATCCTTATAACGGGAGCCGATTGCCTCCTTATAGTCTTCCTCGGCGCCCGCAGCGCGCGCGTGCTGGAGCTGCTGATCTTCATTCTCTGCGCTCTAATCGCCGCGTGCATGACGTACGAGTTGATTGCGGTGCGTCCCGATTGGGTCCTGGTCCTGAAAGGATTCATTCCGTCAGGCCAGATTTTCACCAACCCTGACGTGCTATACGCGGCGGTGGGTATTCTGGGAGCAACGGTCATGCCGCACAACCTCTACCTCCATTCCAGCATTATCCAAACGCGCAATTACAGTCGCACGGCAGAAGGCAAGCGCATGGCCGTCCGTTACGGCACGTGGGACTCGTGCCTGTCGCTCTTCGTCGCCTTTTTCGTCAACGCGGCCATCCTGATCCTCGCGGCCGCGGCTTTCTACTACAACCCGTCGGGCCAGCAGACCGTCGCGGATATCAGCGACGCGTACCATCTCCTCGCGCCCGCCATTGGCGACACTGCGGCGAGAATCCTCTTCGGCGTCGCCCTGCTGGCCAGCGGCCAGAACTCCACCATCACGGGAACACTCGCGGGTCAAATTGTGATGGAGGGGTTTGTGGACGTGAAGCTTCCGCCATGGCTTCGTCGCATGGTGACTCGCTGCATTGCGATTGTTCCTGCTGTCATTGTGGCTGCTATCAGTGGCATGGAAGGCGCTGGGAAGCTTCTGGTGCTGAGTCAGGTGATTCTGTCACTGCAGCTGCCGTTTGCGATTGCGCCGCTGGTGCATTTCACGTCGTCCCCGGCTCGCATGGGGAAGTTTGTGAATGGGTGGGTGAGCATGATTCTGGCGAGTCTCCTGACGCTGGCCATTATAGGGCTTAATGGCTTCCTTGTGGTGCAGTGGGCCATGGGTGGTTAGGGTGGGAGGGAAGGGATGGCTGGGGTTGGCAGTGGGCCATTGGTGGCTGGGGTGGAATGGGAACGTTTGTGAATGGGTGGGTGAGCACGATTCTGGCGGTTCTCCTGACGCTGGCCATTATAGGGCTGAATGGGTTCCTTGTGGTGCAGTGGGCCATGGGTGGCTAGGCTGGGATGGAATGGCTGGCGTTGGTTGCTGGGATGGCTGGGGGTTGGTTGGTTGGGTTGGCTGTCTGGCCATGGTTGCACAATTTTGCAGATAGGTGTGTGCCTGGGGTGGGACATTTGGTTAGAATGTGGTAGAAGGATGGGATGGGATGGTCACAGATTGATGGGTTTTGGCTCACACCGATGCAGTTAGGAGGAGTTGGTGATGCATGGGGAATACCGTAAGGGGTGTGGCAGAGATGTTGGCCTGTGCAGGTGTGATTCCTGGCCAAGAGGATCGCAGGTGTGATGTCTTTTCTGCTGGACTATGCTGGCGCAGTGCTGCCAGTTTGTTCTTTCTAGGAATGGTTACTTGTGCTTTTTGGTAGTTTGATGGGGTTTCTCTAATGGATTTAAAGTTTTTTCTGTCATGACATGACTTCGTGAGATTGGATGTGGAAGGCATGTAGTTTCAAATAACCCGTTATCGTTTTAAAACCTAAGCAATCTAAAGAATTCAGGTGTACCGAAACACGATTGCAGAGGATTGAGCTGCACATGACAAAACCGCATACGAACCCCTCAGTGCATGCAAGCTTTGACTGCCACGTGTCCATATAACTCCCTAACCAAAGCTGCACCCTCGGGTGTTCTTGCCACCCATTCCTCGTGACCTCCCCGCATTCTCACATGCACACGAGTTTAGCACCGCGGCACGCGCAACGCATCTGGCGGAGATGTGAGGGTGGCAGCGCGGCGACTCCACGCCGTGGCATGGCGTCGCGTCGCTGCAAGCAGCCTCGTAACCTCGTTGGTACCGCAGAGGCGCGGCAAGGGTGCCGCAGGGGAGAGAGCTGGGAAGATCCGTGAGGGTTTCGTCAACACAGCCTGGTTGAAAGCTCTTCCTTGCCTCGCTGCGTGCAGAGATGGTTCGTGATTCTGCTAGCTCGCCGCAGGGAACGATCGCCGCAGGAGGCAGGCGCAACCCGAGAAGAAGCGCTTCTAACGAGAAGTATCGTGAGCGCCAGACGAGGAAGGGAAAGGATTCCGCTGCCGCGTCGGTTGAGAGAGGTGAAGGTTCGGTGGAGAGTGGTGGAGGATTCGCGAAGCCAGGGGTTGCGAAGAGCGGGGAGGGGGAAGAGCGAAGCGCAGACAGATCGAGTCACGCGCGGAGGGCGCGTGGCGGAAGGAAAGGTCGTGCGGCGGCGCAGGCGCGCGGAAGTTGCGGAGAAGAGGAGCGAGCGGCCGACGGAGGGGGTGGTGTGAGGGGGACCGGGCTGGCAAGAGGGGCGCGCGGGGGGGGGGAAACCGGGCGACGAGGGCGAGCGGGTAAAGCGAAGGCGGAAGGACGTGTAGGGCGCTCAGAGGAGCGCAAGGGCGCAGCGGAGGGCAAAGGCAGGGCGGAGCGGAGGCTACTGCGCGGATTGAGGCTGGAAGACTTCCCTCCGGCGGAGCAGGGCGCGCTGGTGGCGGAGAGGCAGGCGGAGAGTGAGACGCTAGAGGAGGAGGAAGGGGACGGGGAGGAGGAGGTGCGGGGAGGAGAGGAGGAAGAGGAGGTGGTGGGATTGGAGGGAGGGAGTGAAGAGGGGGGAGGGGAAAAGGTGCAAGAGGAGATTCACGGGCTGCTGAGGGAGGCTATAGCTGCAGAAGAGGCGGAGGCTCGGCAAGTTAAGGCTCGGCAAGTCGAGGCTTGGCAAGCTGGGGCTCGGCAAGTACAGGCTCGTCAAGTACAGGCGCGGCAAGTTGAGGCACGATCTGCTCCAAGTGTAGCAGCTGTAGCCGGGACAGCAGCAACAGGGGAAGTAACAAGGCGCGTGAAGAGGGGCTGGCTAGAAGGGGTGACGGGAAGAGGCAGGGAGGGAAGAGACAGAGAGGGAAGAGACAGAGAGGGAAGAGACAGAGAGGGAAGAGACAGAGAGGGAAGCGACAGAGAGGGAAGCGACAGAGAGGGAAGAGACAGAGAGGGAAGCGACAGAGAGGGAAGCGGCGGAAAGGGAAGGTCAGGCGAGCTGGAGGTTGCAGGGTGGAGAGGCATAGAGGGTGAGGAGGGAGGGGCAACAGCAGGAGAGGGAGGGAGGGCAGTGAGTGTGGTGGCGACGCGGACGCACACAGAGACAGTGCCTGTGTCTGAAGAGCAGCAGGTGGTGACCGTCACAGAGACCACGGTGCAACTGCAGGTGCAGCAGGTGGGTGTAGAGAGGGGGAAGGGTGCAGCGAGTGCAGGTGAGGCAGAGGCAGAGGAAGAAGCGTTTGAAGCTGCAGCTGAAGGGATACAGGGTATCGAGATGGCTGGTGGTTCCGATGCGCAAGCCCCTGGACAGCAGCAGCCACAGCAGGAAAAGCAGCAGCGAGTGGCAGCGGCAGCAGGGAACGGCGGCACAAGGCCAGCTGAATCCACTCCTGCTGCTGCGTCTCCAGCAACAGGAGCCGCACCAAAGCAACCTCCAGTTGCACCTCCAGTCGTACCAGCAGCAGCAGCAGCGCCAAAGCAACCAGCTGCAGCACCAGCAGCAACACCTGCTGGGGTTTTAAGGGCACCTATTTCCCCTGCTGGAGCGCCAGTGACACCAACAGCTGCTCCTGCTGTGCCTGCTGCTTGGCGCCTGGACGAGCAGCAGCGCAGCGACTCACGTCAGGTTGATAAGGTTCTAGCGGTTCCCGAAGTGGGGAAACAGAGTGCATGGGACACAGGGGCGGTTGATGCTGCTGCTGGGCCGCGGGGTGTGAAGCGGCCTGCTGCTGCAATGACCCAGGCAGGTGGAGAGGTTGCAGTAGCTGCTGGGGGTGGGGGAGGGGGAGGGAGAGAAGGAGCGGGAGATGGATTGAGCGCTCAAGTGCCTGGTGTGGGGAGGGCTTCTCTTGGCGGCCCTTCCATTGGGCCTGGTGTGGGCCCCGGCATGGGGCTGGGCGGGATGGTGACAGCGATGGATGAGAGGATGATGGAGGTGGTGGTGCGGCATGCACTGCAGGCAAGGGAGGAGGCGCAGCGGAGGAAGGTGCAGGAGAGTGCGCGCGCTGTGAGGGACATGCGGGGGAAGGTGGAGAGGCGGAGGAGGGAGGCGAGGCAGATGGAGGAGGAGCGGGATGAGCGGTTGAGAGAGATGGATGATGCGGTTCAGGAGCTGGTACGTGCATGCAGGTGGTATGTATATGCAGCTGGTACGTGCATGCAGGTGGTATGTATATGCAGGTGCAATTCAGGAGCTGGAGTGGTGTGAGTTGGACCGAAAGCACTTGTTGTGCTTGTGTGTCGTGCCTTTTGTCGCGTTATTAACACTAAGCTGGCAACTAAGTGTGAATACCACAGCAGCCAAGGTGAGGGTGTACTATAGTTTACCGCTTTTGTACTCTAATTTCATTTGTGTGCTTGGAGTGTATTGTACTGTACTGCAGAGCCGAGTAGCTGGGGAATTTGAGGTGGTTAGTGGGAGGCGAATTCAAGGAGGTTGGTGGAGACGAATTCAATTCCAGCCTGTGAATTCAATTTCGAAGTCACAAGGCTGGAAGGCGAATTCAATGCCAGCCTGGGAATTGAATTCGAAGTCACCAGGCTGGAAGGCAGTGCATGCCTAGTGGGCCCAGTGGGAACACAGCTAGCACCTTGGAGACCTCGCGAGCAGCCCGGCTGACTCGCTTGGTGCACAGGAGCTTGCTTGTGGAGGAAGCAACCTAGGCAGGGGGTGGGAATAGATGTAGGCAGGAGTAGCACTCGGGCTTCTTGCTTTTTGCTTGTATGTTTCTCATTTACTGCAATTTGTTTTCCTAATCCAGAGGGAACTAGCAGTAGGAGAAGCTATAAGCAATTTGACGGAGCCCCTGAGGGGGAGTGTTACGCTTGCTACATACAAGCAAAAAGGTTGTTGACTGTCTTAAGTACAGGAGATAAGCTAGTAGCCTCGAGTCGCTCACGGTGATGCGCCGTGAGGAATGAGTAGGCACGATCAGGAACTGCACACTCATCAGCTGCGCTCGGGACTCCGTTTCCCTGCAAGGATGATGGAGGGACAAGGCCTACCAATCAGGACACCTGGATTCCGTGCTGAAGAGGGCGATGCTAATGCGCGCGGGGGTCAGGGATCAGATCGAGAGAGGGAGGGCGACCGACAAGGGGAGCCGCCGCCTAGCGCTACTGGTGGATGAGTCGCTGGCGGGAGTGGAATCGGCCATGTGAGGAGTGGATCTCGAGGGGATAATCCTGCTCAAGGAAGAGAAGAGTTTCGGGAAGAACGGCACAGTCAGCGCGGGGAAGATGAACATCACGAAAAAAGACGCTGTCAGAGAGGAGGAGAAGCGTACCACAGCTTTTCGGCGGGTGGATACGAGGCTACTGAAGCTAGGCAAGGTGGTCGGCCGGTGGACAGCGGGGATAGAGGGAACACGAGCTGGGGGACGGGCCGCACGATGAACGCAGCTCTACCGAAAATTGAAGTGCCGGACCGTTTCTCGGGGACACCAGGGGAGGAGCCCCCGCTCAAGAACTACTTGATGATGATAGACGACCTGCGTTACCTTTGGGAGAGGGAGGGCTTAGACCCTATCGAGTTCTTTAGAGGTTTGGGACGGACTCTGAAAGGCGAGGCCCTGACTCACTACCGCGTGGAAAGGCAGGGGCTGTTGATGCAGTGCAAGAGGCGATTTCTCACCAGCAATGATAACGGACCGATTTCTGGAGAGTTTGCAGGAGCAATTCCCGGGGCACTCGGCGGAACGGATGGCGGAATTTCAGAACTTCGTGCGTGCCACTTCGGAGTCGCTGCTAGCCTATTACAACAGGCTGCTGGAGCTGGCAGAGGACATGGGGTGTATGGAGGAGCGCCTCTTGGTGACGAAATTTGTCAACGGTCTGGACAAGGACCTGATAGGCGACATGAGGAGTCAGCTGTACGTCCTGGGAGTACGCGCCACGCTGCGGCAAGTCTACAAGGTGGCGAAAGAAGTGGAGGAAGGGAAGAGATTTTATGATGGCATGCAGGGGTCGAGTTCCAGCCGACCGAACGAGCGGAGACGGCCGGCCTGGGCAGCTATGGAAGGAAGAAGGGGAGAGGAAGAGCGGAAAGAGAGGCCATCGGAAGACCCGAGACGCTGCCATAAATGTGGAGAGCAAGGACATCTTCGGAGGGATTGTACGGTGGGAATAATCTGCGACACCTGTGGAGCAAAGGGACATTTCAGGCGTGACTGCCCCAAGGCGCCGACCTGCACGGGGTGTGGGAAGAAAGGCCATACCGAAGCTAGATGCTACAGCAAGGGAGACAGGGCGAAAGGGAAAACTGCAAGGGAGCTGCAGTTAGAACGAGAGTTGGCGAAACTGAAAGCTCAGATGGAGAAATCAGGGATCAGTGAAGACCCCGAGAAAGCTCTGCTGGCTTGGGGGGATGACGAAGGGGAAGATTCTGAGGAAGGGGAACCAGAATACGGGACCATGGCTATGCCGCCAAGGGAGAGGGGAGACCTGGGGCTGCGCAGCGGAGGGGCAGATGGCAGAGCGGAGCAGAAATTACAAGAGCGGAGAATTTCCAGGCGGCAGGAGAATCAAGGGAAAGTCAGCACCGCACGGCGTCACCCCGAGGAAAGGTTAGTCTGTCAGCCCACAGCCTTAGTGGTGGAACCGAAAGCCGTGGCGGTCAGAGGAATCTTGGTAGAAAACGCGGTAGTGGATACAGGAGCACAGAGCGTCCTAATCGGGAAGAAGCTGACGGCACAACTGCGAGCGCAAGGGAACCTAGAGACTGTAAGCAAGGGCATACTGATCATGACAGCAGAAGGAGGGGCCCCCAAGTGGATGCCATGCACACGGGACCTGATAGAGATAACCTTACAGCCGGGAGAGAAGGGGGAGACCACTATCAGAGTGCAGTGTGGGTTGACAGAATCAGAAGACTATGATATCCTACTAGGAATGGAGCTGCTGTTCAAGATAGGCACCACTATCTGTACCTGGCAGGAGCAGGTGCTCTACCGTTCGGACTTTTGGGAGGAAGGGAAGGAGCTGAGTGAACTACCAGTACGGTTTGTTAAGACAGAACCCAAGAAGGCGTGGAGAGCAGAAGGACTGAGGAAGAACATCAGGAGGGGAGGAAGTGTGGGGAAGAGCAACGGCAGCGCTCACCTGGATCAGTATAGCATTACACTAGTGGAGCTGTTCGGGGGAATAGGAGCGGGCTTGGCAGCAGCCTTGGAAGCAGGCCTGAGGGTGAAGAAGTGGGTATACGTAGAATTGGACCCAGAGGTGAGGAGAATGGCATGGAAGCATGCTCAAATGTTACAGCAGCAGTACCCCGCGCAGCTGACGAAAGAAGTACTACGGGAGGCCATGCAGAACAAGAAATGGGACGTGGGGCAGTTCACGAAAGAAGACGGATGGGGCAGCTGGGGTAAAGTGGATTTGTTAGTGGCGGGATGGGAGTGTCAGGGTACTTCTAGGGCCGGAAAGGGGAAAGGCTTACAGGACGAGCGCACGGGGATGGTGACCAAACTACTCACCATAATGAAGTGGACGAGTGAAGTGAATGGAGAATATGCTTACATCCTGGAGCATGTGGATATGAGGAATGACGTACGCGAGCCGGTCAGGGCAGTAAGGGAGCTGGTGGAGGCAGAACTGGGGAGAGGAGTGAGCTCTGATGGAGCACAGTTGGGGGCACGCTGTCATAGGGTGCGGCAGTACTGGCAAAACGTCTTGCCAGACGGGGAACTGAGGGCAAGACTAGCAAGAGTGGAGAGGGACGAAAGCAGGATAGTAGAGGATATTTTAGAACCAGGGAGGGTGGCGGCACCAGTGGTAAAACCAGATCATCCGCGGCAGTACCAGTGCAACCGGGTGGGGGAAGCTCGCAGGGCATGGCCTACATTAGTGGCATACACCAGGGCACAAGGTTTCATCGAGGTGGACGGAATACCAGGACCAGGGATGGTGTACGATCACCGGAAGAAGAAGTGGGAGGAACCGACGGCTTTGGAGCGGGAGTTAGCCATGGGATACCTGCCAGGAGCAACCGCAGCAGAAGGGGTAGAGGAAGGGATGCGCAGAGCAGCTTTAGGAAGAGCCATAGACCAGCACTCGCTGAGATGGTTAATCAAAGAGATGAGGAAGGGGGCAGCTGATAAGGGAGGAGAGACCGGAAAAAGGCAAGGACAAGGAGAGAAGCAGGCGGCGTATGCAGCTGTTGAGCAGGGCACGGGAGGAAAGGAGAATGTTGCGGCACTAGCAGGGGGCAAAGAAGCTGAGCAGGGTAAGGAATGGAAGCTAGGTACGGACATCAAGGAGCAGACGGCGGAAGCAATCAGAGAGGTGCTGCGCCAGCACAGGAGCACTTTCGCCTATAACCTGCAGGAATTGGGGAGGTACAAGGGAAGAGAGCTGGAGCTAAACCTTACCACAGAGATACCCACTTACCAACGAAGAAGGAGAATGAATGCAGAGGATGCGGCTATCTGCAAGGAGAAGTGTGAGGAGCTGCTAGCAGCAGGGATTATCCGCCCGTCCGAGTCAAGCTACGCAGCAGCCACAGTGGTAGCTGCCAGGAAGGATATCACGGGTAAAGTGCTGGCGAAAAGGATGTGTGGAGATTTTCGGGAGCTGAACAAGATTACCAGCCCGGACAGGTACCCCATGCCAATAGCAGAAGACATCTTTGATCGCTTAGAAGGCGCCATCATCTTCACCACCTTGGACCTGCGACAGGGGTTCAACCAGATAGCCATCAGGGAGGAAGACAAACGGAAAACGGCGTTTCACGGGGTGGATGGGCTGTATGAGTACAATGTGATGCCCTTCGGGATACGCAACGCCCCTGCAGTGTTCCAGCGGGCCATGGATCAGGTGCTGAAGGGGATTCCAGCAGCAGCCTGCTACATAGATGATATACTGATTTTCAGCAGCAGTGAAGAGCAGCACGTGCAAGATCTGAAGCAGACGCTAGAGGCTATAGCAGCTGCGGGTCTGACGTGCCATCCAGACAAGTGCAAGATAGCAAGGCAGACCGTGGCTTACCTGGGCTTTGAAGTGAAAGGGGGCCGGCTGGCGATACAGGAAGCAAAAGTTAAGGTGCTGGAGAACCTGGCAGCACCAAAGGATAAGACCGGGCTGCGGGCGTTGCTCGGCTTCCTGAATTATTACAGGAAGTTCGTACCGAACTTCAGCCGCCGAGCCTACATACTGAATCAGCTGCTGAAGGAAGGGAGGAGCTGGCAGTGGGGAGAGCTGGAGGAAACGGCAAGGCAGGACCTGTTAGAAGCAGTACGAACGGGAACGCTGCTGCAGATACCGAGGGAAGATGCCCCTTTCATCTTATACACCGACTGGAGCAGCACAGGAATGGGGGCAGTGCTCTGCCAAGAGATAGAAGGAGAGGAGAGAGTGGTAGCCTTCGCCAGCCGCAGCTGCAGCCCATCCGAGGCTAACTACTGCTCTTACGAGGGGGAGGGCCTGACAGCTGTATGGGGGATCACTCACTTCAAGGTGTACCTGCAGGGTCGGCGCTTCACACTTGTGACTGATCACCAGCCGTTGCTATGGTTGATGACTCATCAGGAGCTGACGGGAAGAAACGCTCGCTGGGCCATTAAGCTGTTGGGATTCGACTTTGAGATCCGACACCGGCCTGGGAAAACGCTGCAGCACGCAGATGGGTTATCAAGGAATCCGCCACCAATGCAGCCGGTAGCGCAGCTGGCAGCCCTGGCTCAAGTAGCGGCGGTACCCTGGGGGCAGGAGAAAGGAAAGAAGCGGTTAGGGGATATATGGGAGGATGAGGAGACCCTGAGTTGGATCAAAGGGGAGCCACTAGAAGAGGAAGGAGTGAGCGAGAGAGCCAGGGCCCGAGGGCAGCATTTCAGGTGGTTTCAGGAACAGCTGCAGCTGAGAACCAACGAAGGGTGGAAGGTGGTGCCACAACCACAGGAGAGAGCCAAGATTATGGGGAATGTGCACGCGAAGCTGGGGCACTTCGGAATAACCAGAACACGACAGCTGCTGAGCACCATGTACTGGTGGGTGAGCATGGGAAAGGATGTGGCAGGATTAGTGGCGAGCTGCGAGGCATGTCAGAGGAATAAAGCAAGGCTGGAGAAAGAGAGAGATGAGCTGCATTCTTTACCAATTCGCGGGTTGGGCTACAGGTGGTCGTTGGACCTCGCGGGAGAGCTGCCACTATCGAAAGGAGGGAAGCAGTACATTCTGGTGATGGTTGAGCACACGAGTAAATGGGTGGAGGCGCGAGCGTTACCAAGCAAGAACAGCGCACTGATAGCTGACGCTTTTCAGGAGCTGGTGCTCACCAGGTATGGGGCATGCGGGGAGGTACTCACTGATCAAGGGACGGAATTTCAAGGGAGCTTCGACGAGCTGCTGGAAGAGATGGGTATCACGCACAGGGTCACCTCTAGGTACCATCCTCAATCAGACGGACTGACCGAGAGGCTCATACAGACCTTGAAGAAAGGACTACGGGCCTACAGTGAGTCCCACAAAAGGAGTTGGGACCGAGATCTCTGGTGGGTGCTGGCGGGGTACAGGTTCGCAAAGCAGGCGGCTCTGAGAAACCTATCCCCATACCACTTACTGTTCGGGCGGGATCCTGTGCTGCCGGTCGATGCTCCGAAGCTGCTTTCTGCGGTTATAGAGGCAGATGAGCCAAACCTGTGGGCGGAGTTAGCACAGAGGAGAGCAAAGTATTTGAAGGAGCTGACTCCGGCAGCTCTGGATAACCTCCATGTGGCGCAGCTGCGTGACGCAAGACGATACCAGCAGCGTAAAGCATCAGGGATAGGGGGAAAGGGTGACAAGGTGGAGGCAGGGCAGGAGGTATACCTTCGCAAAGCTAAGCGCGACACGCTGGACTTAGCGGTGGGATCGGAGCGGTGGAAGGTGAAAGAGATACGAGGCTCGGGAGTGTTAGTGCTGGAAGATATTCGAGGGGGAATCATCAAGGAACACATCACCAACGTGGCCAGGGCGGGACAAGGGAAGCCTCAGGCAGTGGGTCCCGTGACTCGAGCGGCAAAGATGGGCGCTGAGACACGGGAGGGGGCAGGGAAGCCTGAGGTACCAGGAGGAGTGCAGGACAGAGTGATTACATACGCCAGGAGGAAGAAGGGATGAACCTGATCAGCAGTACGGGTGGCAGGGAAGGAAGGAGAGAAGGAGAAGTCAGCAGGTTACACAGGGGAGAAAGGGAATGAGGGTGGACAGAGGAAGATTCACGACACTTTCCACAGGAAGCGAGGGCAGTGGCGAGCCTTCAGAGGGCGGCCAGGGAGGCGCGGAGATGATCCTAGAGGTGCCTTCAAGCCTCCCATTTGAACCTCTGTGTGTCTTTTCTCCTTGTGCCTCATCCCCTGCACTGTGTTCTTTCTATCGTGCAGGTGGCGAGGGAGGGCAGCCTTCAGAGGGCGGCTAGGGAGGCGCGGAGATGATCCTAGAGGTGTCCTTTCTCCGTGTGCCCTCTCCCCTCTCTCACTCCTCCCTGTCTAAACCGTGCAGGTGGCTAGGGCGGAGAGCCTTGAGAGGGCGGCGAAGGAAGCGCGAGGGGTGGCAGAGAGGGCAGAGAGGGACAAGGCAGTGCAGGAGGCGAGAATCAGAGCGAGCTATGAGGTATGTTGGGGTTGTGTGTTGGTGCGGAGGGGAGGGGGGGGGGAGAAATGTTGGGATTGGGTGTGTATAGTGGGGGGGAAGATGTCGGGGCGTGTGTGTGTGTGGTGGGAAAGAAAGGGGGAGTGTAGAGGGGGGGTGAATGGGTGGATGGGATGGGTGTGTGTATGTGTGTTTGTGCATGAACCTCCGACCATCCATCCATCCATCATTGGTTAGATACTCATGTGTGTTCTCCTCCACTCATGTGTGTTCTCCTCCACTCATGTGTGTTCTCCTCCACTCATGTGTGTTCTCCTCCACTCATGTGTGTTCTCCTCCACTCATGTGTGTTCTCCTCCACTCATGTGTGTTCTCCTCCACTCATGTGTGTTCTCCTCCACTCATGTGTGTTCTCCTCCACTCATGTGTGTTCTCCTCCACTCATGTGTGTTCTCCTCCACTCATGTGTGTTCTCCTCCACTCATGTGTGTTCTCCTCCACTCATGTGTGTTCTCCTCCACTCATGTGTGTTCTCCTCCACTCATGTGTGTTCTCCTCCACTCATGTGTGTTCTCCTCCACTCATGTGTGTTCTCCTCCACTCATGTGTGTTCTCCTCCACTCATGTGTGTTCTCCTCCACTCATGTGTGTTCTCCTCCACTCATGTGTGTTCTCCTCCACTCATGTGTGTTCTCCTCCACTCATGTGTGTTCTCCTCCACTCATGTGTGTTCTCCTCCACTCATGTGTGTTCTCCTCCACTCATGTGTGTTCTCCTCCACTCATGTGTGTTCTCCTCCACTCATGTGTGTTCTCCTCCACTCATGTGTGTTCTCCTCCACTCATGTGTGTTCTCCTCCACTCATGTGTGTTCTCCTCCACTCATGTGTGTTCTCCTCCACTCATGTGTGTTCTCCTCCACTCATGTGTGTTCTCCTCCACTCATGTGTGTTCTCCTCCACTCATGTGTGTTCTCCTCCACTCATGTGTGTTCTCCTCCACTCGTTTTTCCCTCCTCTTTCCTTCCGTCCCCTCTGTCCCTCGTTCAATCTCTCTTTAGCACTGCTTCCGACCATCCTGATCTTGCCCACTCGCTCTTGCCCCCTTGCCCACTCGCTCTTGCTCTCTTCGCCAGGCAGTACTGGGAGATGACAAGGAGAAGGAGGCACTGGCGGAGGCGGAGCGGCAGCTGGAAGCGCAGCAGGCAGAGCTGCGGGCGCTAGAGGCGTCTAAAACATAACTATCTTGTTCACTCGCTCCTGCCGCTTCTTCTCCAGGCACTACTGGGGGGTGACAAGGAGGGGGAGGCACTGGCCCAGGCAGAGAGGCAGCTGGAAGCGCAGCAGGCAGAGCTAACACTGCTTGTAGCTCCTCTTCGTTCCTCTTACCCATTCTCCCCTGCGCCTCTTGCTACTCTTGTTCAGGCACTACTAGGGGAGAAGGAGGCACTGGCCCAGGCAGAGAGGCAGCTGGAAGCACAGCAGGCAGAGCTAACACTGCTTGTAGCTCCTCTTCGTTCCTCTTACCCATTCACCCCTGCGCCTCTTGCTACTCTTGTTCAGGCACTACTAGGGGACGACAAGGAGAAGGAGGCACTGGCCCAGGCAGAGAGGCAGCTGGAAGCGCAGCAGGCAGAGCTGCAGGCGCTGGAGGCAAAGCAGGCTGCGCTGGCGGACGACCTCAAGGCCAGGTTCTGGAGCACCGTGAGGAGCGAGCTGTACGAGGGTGGCTCGTAGGGCTTGTAATGCTGATGCAGTAGTGCTCATTGCGCTGGTTCCAGCGCTAGAGGCAAAGCAGGCTGTGCTAGCGGACGACCTCAAGGCCAAGTTCTGGAGTACTGTGAAGTGAAGAGCCAGCTGTATGACAGTTCCTGCATCCTCTTCTCTACCTTGAGTTGCTCCGCCCTAGAAGGCGCGCGGCAAAAGGCATTCACTAGCTCTTTGGGCTTATAACGCTGATGGAAGTGTTTGTGACCATGGCGCATGCGCTGCTCATGCTGATGAAGGCTGTGATGGTGTTGCTTTGCGGGTGATCTAGTGGGGTAGCGTAGCGTTGATATGGAGGCATTGAATCTGCATGTGTTTGTGCAATTTGTAAATATTGTACATGATGTTTGTTCAGAGACTTTGCATTTGCAGAACCCTCCAGGGTAAGTCCCAAATTTCTCATCGAATTATCCATGTGCTTCACCCAACTCATCATACCGTATGGGTAGCTGTTTTCCTGTAAAGCTTTTTTTTTGTGTACACTATTGATCCATCAACCTGGATTGTGCAATCTCAGATCGTTCCACCGAGTCGTAGCTGAGAACGTGACTGGAGAAATGTGACGCCATAGGACACACCCTGGCGGCAGGTGGTTCCGCTCCATTCGATCTGGGTGGCTCACGTTCAACGCAGGCCAAAGCCCGGCGAAAAGAAGGTGAACCGCGCTTGACGAAAAGAAGGCGAACGACGAATGCGGTACACTGACGACGTCAACGAAGTAATTGCACCCTTCAAGCCCTCACGGCTAAAGTTGACAAGTTCTGCAAGTTGCGACTTAAGTTTCGCAGCTAGCCTTCGGCGAAACACACTCATATCCGTTTGAAAGGGCTGGCGCAAACATCTCTTACACTACCACTGCTCACTTACCTCTCACCCACCCTCCATTTCGTTTCGTGCACGATTTCCTCCATACCTAATTAGGGTTCCACACGACACCTCTTCCCTAGTAGTAACCCTAGGAGGCGCTGGTCCAGTAGCAAACCGCACATAGCAGGCGTAGTCAGCGACGGCGTGCACGGCGAGCGACGCCGTCAGATGCGGCGAGAATGTCCGATGGACTGCTCGGCTTCGCTCATCTCATTAATCGCCCCAGCGAGTCAGGCTGGCAATCAGACAGCTCCACACCGAAAGAGTCTAAGGTTTTCACAACATGCACAACCGTTTTAGGGCCGTTACTAGAGGGTTACCCGCCGGACTCGTCCGCGAAGCACGAGGATGCGGCGAAACACTCGTTTAGTCTTAAGAAGCTGTTTGGAGCGAAGTCGGGGAAGTCTAAAGAGGAGGAGGCGAAAGCGCGAGACGCGGAGATTAAGTTTGTCTTGCAGGCCGCCGCGACGCCGTTAGCTTCGGTTCCGAAGCAAATAAGTCTGCCTCGACCGACGACTCCCGAACTAACGCAGGTACACCGATCATGGAGGGTTGCGACGGCAATGGCGAGCGTTACCGAAGCTGACAGGATCGCTGCATGGTCGCACATCGCATGTGGCCATTGTCAATGAGAATGGTCTTAGTTCTAGTAAGGAGGTGGTTTGATAGCGATAACGTTTTTAATTACCATTTTCGCTTCTTGTGGGTCGGCGCGTCGTTTCGACGTGTTTTCTCGCCGCTCAGCCGTTTACATTGTAATCAGAAATGACTGCATTGCTCGCAAAAAAGGCTAGATAGTTAGGCATAGCGCAATGCGAAGATCGCGTCAGCTAGAAAGGTTGCTTTTTAACCGACTGAAATGTCTATGGCTCCTATTCTTTTAACGCGCGATCGTTCACTGGGTTCGCATTTTTGGAGCATCCTGAGTAGTGTTTCTATGTTCAGTACACGTTTTTTTTTTTTAAGACGCCAACAAATTGTGTGGTGGTGTTTCCATCTTCCGTTTGATATATCCGTTATGCCGTCCTTACGTGCGAATTGAAACTTTTTATCGAAAATGCGGTCCTCTTGGTCCCTTTCTGTCGTCTTCACGTTCGCATTGCTTCAATGTCGAGGCGCCTCAAAACGGACATGGACTCTCTCTCCCGCCGTACCCTCACATTGCTCCCAGCAACACCGTTTCTCTGCACCTCTTGACCTCCCGTCGCCTCCCCCACCGTCGCCTCCCCCACCCTTCTCCTCTGCGATCCACCCAATTCTCTCCCCTTGAGCTTCATGTCTCCCTTTCCCGGACGCGCTCCTCCCTTCGCGTCTCCGTCTCCCATCCGTTCGGGTCTCTCTCACCCCTCCCTTCGTTCCCCCACCCCCTCCACCCCTCCCTTCGGGTCTCTCGCACCCTTTCTCGTCTCTCGCACCCTTTCGCGTCTCTCGCACACCTCCCTTGATCTAGAATCAACCGCCGTTCGGCGCCTATAACTCGACCCTCCCTTCGTGCCTCCTTCGCCCGTCCATTCGCGCGTCTCCCTCGCCCATCCCATCGCGTCTCTCGCACCCCTCCCTTGGTCCAGAACCAACGGCCGTTCCGCGGCTGCAACTCGCCACTCCATTCGCGTCTCCCTCCCTCACCCGTCCCCGCCCCGTCTCTCTCACACCCCTCCCATGCTCCGAAAGCAACAGATGCTCCGAAAGCAACAGGTGTTCCGCGGCCACACCTCCGCCCTCCCGTAGTGCCTCCTTCGCCCCTCCGTTCGCGTCTCCCTCTCACGCCCATCCCTCCCCGTCTCTCGCACCCCTCCCTTGCTTTTCGACCCTGCCTGCGACTTTTCAGACGTCTCAAAAGTCGTCCCCTCCCCGTCTCTCTCATCCCTCCCTTGATCCAGAAGCAACAGGCGTTCCGCGGCTACTTCTCGGCCCTTCCTACGCGTCTCTCTCCCTCACCCCTCCCGTGCTCCCTCCCAGAACCAACGATCCACAAGGGGCGTGTTGAAGAGGCACATAGCAGCATCAGGCCGCTGCAACTCGCCCCTCCCTTCGCTTCTCACCCAGCCATCTCGTCCCGCTCTCTCTCAACCTTCCCATGCTCCCCTCACGCCTCCGCCTTCGCCCCAAACCAATGCACCACGAGGGACGTCTTAAAGAAGTATGTAGCGGCATCGGGCGGCTACAGTTCCCCCCTCCCCTTCGCGTCTCTCTCACTCGTCGCGTGCTCCTCCGTCTCTCCCTTTGCCTCCCGTGCCCTCAGAATCAACGCACCACGAGGGACGTTCTCAAGAAGTACATTGCGGCATCCGGCGGCTACAACTCACACATGGCGCAGCAGGGCTCCGTGATTTCCGGCCACGTCACCATCTGGGCATCTGAGGTGGTCATGGGCGACAAGACGGTCTACGCCGCCCCGACCGCGGGCGGCCGCGGCGGCGCTGACGTGGCGAAGGGGACGTTCCGCGTGGTGCAGATGCCGCCCAACGTGTGGCACGTGGCGGTGGCTATGGGCGACACGCGGATTGACGCCACGTGTGACGGCGAGCTGGTGTGGCGGCGGAGCAGTTGGGGCCCCTCCACGACGGCTAAAGGGCCTGTGCGACCACTCAGGCATTTGCTAGCGGTGAGCAAGGCTTTGAGTGCGATTTTGTGCGGTTGAATGGGGTTGAGTGTGGGATGAGGAAGCAAGGCCGTGTGCCGGCGAGCTGGTGTGGCGGCGGAGTAATTAGGGCCCGTCCTCGACGGCTGAGGGGCCTGTCCGACCACTCGGGCATTTGCTAGCGGTATGTGTGGTCTTGAGGTTGAGTGGGCTGTGAGTGGGCGTGTAGCGTGGGATGAGGAAGGAGAGCGGTGTGACGGCGAGCTGGTGTGGCGGTGGTTCAGTTGGGGGCCATTGACGACGGCCAAGGGGCCTGTGCGAACACTCAGGCGCTTGCTAGCGGTTGGTATGGTCTTGAGTGCGGTTCTGTGCAGTTGAGTGCGGTTGAGCGGGTTAAGTGTGGGATGAGCAAGGAGGGCCGTGTGACGGTGAGCTGGTGTGGTGGTGGAGCATCTAAGCGCCATCTACCTAGGCCAAGGGGTCCGTATGACCTCTCAGGGACTTAATGGGGGTGCCTGTGGTCTTGACTGCAGTTGATTGCGGTTGATTGCGGTTGAGTGCGGTAGAGTGGGCCTGAGTGTGGCTCTGAGTGGGCGGAGCTGCTGGGCGCCGTCCACCATGGCCAGGAGGCCTGTGCGACCACTCACGCACTTGCTAGCGGTGGGTGCGGTCTTAAGTGCGGTTCAGTGTGGTTGAGTGGGCTCTTGAGTGGCCTTGAGTGGTCTGGAGTGGGCTTGAATGGGATTGTAGGGTGGGGGGTGGGGAAGGCGCTCTGGACGCCTCCTCTTTCTTTCACGGCCTGGACGCCTCCTCTTTCTTTTACACAGCCTGCTCTCTCCATTTGCTCCGACCAATAACGCTCCACCCATGCCATGTGAGGTTGCTTCAGGAATGGTACAGGAGGCGCTATATTGTAATTTTGCTATAGCCCAGTAGCTCCTCCTGCACCACTTTTGAGGCGCCTCAAAAAGTTTTGAGGCGCCTCAAGAGGAGCGATATTGTAATTCTGCTATAGCCCTGTAGCTCCTCCTGCACCGCAGCACTTGGTCTGACCAGACCAGATGCTTGAGAATGCCTTTCCTCTTCCCTCCTCTCCTTTCCTCTTCTCGTCCCCCCATTTTCCTCCGCGCTGCTACCCACCCCCCGTCTCCCCTCCCCGTCGCCCCTCCTCCCCATTCCCCACTGCTGTGTCTCACCCTTCAGGGGCTGAGAACTTCCATCATCCGTTTGCTTTCCCCCAATCCCCACCCTTTCCACCTTCTTCCTCCTTCCCCACCCCCTGGCTATGTCCCGCCCGGCATCAGGGCCTGGACCCGCCCACAGTCGCAGACGTGCTCGCGTCGGGCGATGAGGGCATAGAGGAATGAATCTCCCTCCACACCTCCCCACTACTCTCCACTCTGCTCCACACCCCCCAGGGCCTGGACCCGCCCACAGTCGCGGACGTGCTCGCGTCGGGCGAGTATCAGGACGACGAGGGCATAGAGGGAGGAAGGCCATCCCTCTCCACCCATCTCCACCTCTCTCCAATCCTCACCCCACCCTCGCAGGGCCTGGACCCTCCCACAGTCGCAGACGTGCTCGCGTCGGGCGAGTATCACGGCGATAAGGGCATAGATAGAAGGAGGGAGTCAATCCCTTTCCACTCCTCTCCACTCCTCTCCCTCCACCACGGGGACTCGACCCGCCGACGGTCGCAGACGTGTTTGCATCGGGCGAGTATCAGGGAGACGAGGGCATAGAGAGCGACGAGTGCATCCCATTCCACTCCTCTTAATTCCTCTGCTCTCCTCTCCACTCCTCTCCCTCCACCACAGGGCCTGGACCCGCCTACAGTCGCGGACGTGTTTGCCTCAGGGGACTATCAGGGAGACGAGGGCATAGAGGGCGACGAGTTCATGTGTGGGAAGGTGATGGCAAACCCGCTGGCGCTCATGAGCATGAGCACAGGCGGGGGCAGCAGTGGCCCCTCCACCCACCCACCCACCCACCCTGAGGCTCCACGCCTCCTCTCCTCATCTCCTCTTCACTCCTCCCCTCCCTTCTCCTCTCCTCCCCTCCCCTCTCCTCCCATCTCCTACCCACTCCCCTGCATCAGGGCCTGGACCCGCCTACAGTCGCGGACGTGTTTGCCTCAGGGGAGTACCAGGGAGACGAGGGCATAGAGGGCGACGAGTGCATGTGCGTGAAGGTGATGGCCAACCCGCTCGCCCTCATGTCCATGAGCACGGGCGGGGGCAATGTGGGCGGCAAGCAGCAGGACGTGTGCGACGTGCTGGCGTACCAGGTGGAGGGGTTCTTCAGTAAAGCGTCGGGGCTGCTGATTGGCCTGCGCGACCACCATCTCACCAAAACCAAGGTGCGTGTGGCTTGTACGTGACTATGGGTGGGAGGGATGTGAGGGGGTAAGCAAGGCAAGCAGCGCGTGTGTGACATGCTGGCATGCCAGGTGGAGGGGTTGTTTGGTAAAGCGTTGGGGTTGTTGGTTGGCTTGCGGGATCATCATCTCACCAAGACCAAGGTGGGTGTGTGAGTGCCGGTGAGGTGAGTATGGGCAGGACGTGTGTCAAGTGCTGGCTTATCAGGTAAAGGGGTTCTTTGGTAAAGCCTCGTGGCTGCTGATTGGCTTGCGCGGTCACCATCTCACCAAGACCTATGTGGGCCTGGGGTATGGCGATGGGGAGTAGGGTTAGGGGCCAGAGGGAGCAAGGCAGCAAGCATCGGGGCAGGACGTGTGCGACAAGCTGGCGTATCAGGTGGAGGGGCGGTAGTGAAGCGTCGGGGCTGCCCCGTGATCCCTCTCGCCAAGCGCTGCCCTTCTCCTTTCCCTTCTTCTTCCCTTCCCCCTTCCCCTTACCCTCCTTCCCCCTTCCCTTTACTCCATTTCCCCTTTCCTGTCCCTTCCCCCCCCCTCCCCATCCCCCCTTCCGCACTTCCACTTCCTCCCCCCACACAGACAGTGAGCAACAGCACGATCTACTGGGAGAGGGTGATGGTGACGCGGGTGGGGGCTTTCAGCCCATGGAGGGAGGCATGATCATCCCCACAGCACCCGCCCCGTCCTCTCTCTCGCCAAGCGTTCCCGATCTCCTGACAACCTTCTCCATCACCTCCCCCTGTCCCTTCTCCTTCTGTCTTCCCTTCACTCCATTTCCCTTTTCCCGTCCCTTCCCTTCCCCCTCCCCATCCCCCCCCCTCCTCCCCCCACACAGACAGCGAGCAACAGCACAATCTACTGGGAGAGGGTGATGGTGACGCGGGTGGGGGACTTCCAGCCCATGGAGGGCGGCATGATCATCCCCCACAGCGGCCGCTCCGTGCTCTCTCTCGCCAAGCGCTGCGATGACGACACGTCAGGGACGATACGTGCGTGGGTGAGAGAAGAGTGGGGCGTTGACTCGGTCACGCAGGACGCCATGGCCATGCAGGGGTTGCTAGCACGGCCGGCAGATTTGATTATGACGGCTAGCTCCGCGTCTTTGCATAGAGGGTGATTTGGATAATGGACCCGAGAGGCTGGGGGGGTTTCGGATGTGTTATGTGGTATGGATGGGTTACTACTGTGGAATGGGTGGCAGACTTTATTATGACTGCCAGCTTGGCTTTATTCATTAGAGGGTAATTATTGTTGAGGTGTAGTTATCTTGTCTTTGGGTGGGTTGGAAGAGGATAAGTGGCTGAAATGATTAGGTTGGGTTGGGTGGATAGGGTTGTAGTTTGCTTTAGATTGTGATCCAGTATTAGGATGGGCTGGGGTTTTGAAGAAGGTTTAGCAGGTCAGAGCTGATGACATATTAGAGACACGGTACTAAATCTCGTCTGGATGTAAATGCAAGCTTCTTTTGTAGTAGCATTTTCAATGGACGTGTTTATTGAGCCAGTTCATTTGGTGTCCTAAGTGTATTACGGCAGCAATACATGCGAAGCAGATATCAGTTACACCAGTTACGGTGAACAGTTTGTTAAATTCTGGGACGTGCCCTGAAAATGCTCGTGCCTCGTCGCCTTCATGTCGCAGCGCGCATTCGCGGACACTTCGGTGTGACAGCATCGCACGTGGAGTTGCCATGTCACACCGTCTGAACAGATCTTTTGAAGCCGAAGGGGCTTTGTTGCATTGCACTCGTAACAAATGCATGTTCTTGCGCTTTTCAAAGAATTACTGTTGTGACAACAGAATTTGGTGCGCTCGAGTTTGGGAAATAACATTCGGGCGCGGTGCACACGAAACTATATCAGTTCAAAAATGTTGTAGAGTAAATTGCCGTTTCTTTTTTGCTGCTGAGTAGGGACACGACCTGCTGCCAGCGTGTCAATTGCCTTGCCCTGTCAGCGCCTCACCGGCATGGCAGTGGAAGAAAACTCGCGAGATTTCGCCCCACGTCAGCCTTGCTGCACGCACCAACGTTCAGCCCCAATTATTAGGCCTGATCTGAAGGGGGTTGAGTTTTTCCCTCTTTCTTCGTCGCTCAGGGCTTGGACAAGATTCTGTCTTGGGAGACCAATTGATAACAGTGGCCTCCACTGAGTACAGTAGGTAGGTAATGTACATCCTTCGAAACAAATGCCAAAAAAGAAGAAAAATATAAAATCGGTTCTGGCCTCTCCGAAATAAAAGACGTTCAGAGAGCGGTTGCAGCATTCTGCTTCCCATTCTACTCATTGCATCGCGTGTGTCGTTTGTCGTTACGCGCTGTCATAGTCAGGGCACAGATTGTCCCCGAACAACTGTAGAGCACAGCATGTCAGACGGCGCACCAAACCAGGTCAAACCATCCCCAAGCCCAAGCTAAACTTCGTCAGATCAGAGCTCATTTCAACCCACCCAGAAAATCCCCCAAAACGAGGAGATGACGGACCGCCGTGCTTTTGCGTTTTCGATTTCTTTCGGCAGTGACTTTGAGAGCGACTCCCTCCGCGCTCGCGCCCAATTCTCACGGGCAGTTTATATTGTTATTTCCCATTTCTCGTGACCAAACGTAAAAAAGGGCAAATACAAAGTCAGCCTGGTTTCAACATGGTGGGCAGTGGCAAAACTAAAACCCACTCGGGTGACAAGGACTTTGGGAGGCATCAACCCCAAACACCTTGCCTCATGGTGGGTTGATGCCCTCTTAGTGGCATACTGTACATGAGGTGAAGGAGGGGGGAGAGCTCTCTTTGGGTTACCCCCGGCTGTCGATCATAATCCACCTACCCACTTGTTTACACACCTCGCTGGGTATCGAGGTAAGGATATATCCACTCCCAGATGAGCAGTGCGAAACCCTCTTCTGGGGGGCTGGCGGAACTCGCCGGCACTGGGGTTTGAACCAGGAACCTCATCCTTCTGAAGTCCCATCTAACTTGACTGGGCCGCTTTAGGACGCAAACCATACATGAGGATTTTATTGTTCTGTCCCGAGATGCGCGTTTGATATGACTCGACGAAACTTTTTGAAAGTCCTGAAAACAAAAAACATCTGTGTTTGTGGACTCAAAAGGGGAAACGGAGAAATAATATGCCCCAAGGTATTGGACGAGAGCGTGGAGCAATGAGCTGTCAAAACAACTGCTCATTGGAATTGGAAACTAGGAAACACGGCGCTCCGTCATTTCCTCCCCCTAAAACCCTTCTTTGCCCCTTCTCGACAGAACTCGAGTCCAGAGTTCAAATTGCTCCGGCAACCATTGGGATTCGAGCAACTGTTCCGCTCCACCCGCTTGCTGCGGCGAATTTCTCGGTCCCTCCCTTCTCTTCCATTCGCCCCATACCAAACCAGTCCAGCAGATCCCACTCGTTCCTTCCCCACACGCAACCAGTTCCCTTGGCACAATCACCTCGCCTCACCACCAACAAGCAAACAAGAAAACTGGCAAGAAGAGCAAGCGGCAGCAGCGAGCCAGCACGTTGGCGTTTGCAATGCTGGAAATTTCCCTTGAAATTGCGGGAGGGAGGTTCGAGTGGCGAGGCGACTATCATGGCTGACCTGCCTAGATGGACCACCAGCTTGGCAGAGCAGCCAGCTCAGCCTACTCCAGTCTGTCCGCAGCGGGGACTAGATTGTAGCGGCTGTATCTGAGAGATTCATTTCATTCCGGCGCGCCCCCGCGGTCGACATTGTTTTCCGTTTCCATTCCACCAGCCAGGCTTCTGCTCCAGCAACCCATGAGGACACGATACTGTACAATACGACATGGCACGACACGACACACCATCCTTGTTTCTGTATCGCTCACGACCCGCCGTGTCCTTGCTTGCTTCCTCACCTCACCCCTCCCACAAACAGAGACATTTCTTTATTTACAGTCTATCATGTCGTGCCTCCAAATGTGATTCTTACAACTTGTGAAGCTCCAGTCCCAATCACAACACAACCTCTCACGGTCCTTGAATCGTCGCAACGTCTTCTTGAGCGCGGGCCGGCGTGAAAAACAAGCTGTTGAATATTTTACTAAGCACATTGTCCTTCGCAACTAAAAATGATAACATTCGCGGCCATGAATACCTGTCTCAGCGACATCTACCCACCAACAACACCGTCAAGCGCAGAATGCGGCGCCCATCGCGGGCGCGGGCGCAACACGTCTCATTTCCCCTCCGCCGCGGCGGCCGACGGTCTTCCGGAATGCTCTCAGCCGCGCAAGCGTGACTGTTACTATCACTACCCGTCTACTACGAGTAGCATTACGACAACGCTTCACGTTACAGCTCAGTATGGGCTTAAAAATCGCCATAACGTCGGCGGCTCGAAACATAATCATGTCCACGCATCGGAGACTCAGAAGCCGCTGACGAGCGTTCTTGGAAAGCGATGCGTGGCGCTTTGTCGGTCCACTCGAAGCGGAGCGACTGATCTGGAGTCGCCGGAGCCGAAGCGACGAGGTTGCGACAGAGCTCTGCGACATGATGTGCTCGACGAATCGTCCTTTCCGGCAGTGGAGGGAACACTCGAGGAGATTGGACGGATCAAATGTCATCTGCGGACAGCGGTTGCTAGCCCACGGTCGTCTGAGTCGTCGCTTTCCGCTTCCGCCGCCGCGTCCCAAGGCCGTTTGCTTCGATACAAGGCATTGGCGGAATGGCCGGCGACGGCGCAGAGAGTCGCGGCGTCGGCGACGTCGCGGGGTACTACGGAATGTCCAACGACGATCTTCGGATTGCTGCAGAATATTAAGCGGAAAAAGCACGCGACCGTGACGCCATCGCTTCCGTACGCGACGTCGCAGCATATGATGGCATTCGAGGACGGGCGCCACGTGTCTATCGGCGATGTCGCGGCGCCGCCGCGAAAACCCGAGGCGGCTAAGGAACCAGCGTGGAATGTTGAGACTACTACTAGTTTCGCGGCTGTTTCACCCCGGGGCCGTCACACCACTTTCCCTCGCTGTGAGGACATCTCTCAACCCACGTTCGTACAAACTCCCGCCGAAGAGCAATCTCCACGCGACAACCAAGCTTCTAAAGCGCACGCCGAAGTTATTCAAGTGGACGCGCGGCATCACAAGAAGGAGAACGAGGAAACGTACGGTGCTCGTACGGAAACAGCAACTTACTCGACAAACCCTAAAGTTTTTCTGTCAGAGCCAGAACAGCGTGTCCCGCTCATCACTGCTGTTTCGCCTCCAGCTGACGAACATGTGGGTTTCTATACGACGGTTGCGGCGTTACCCCATCAGATTTCGGACGGCCAGTTTCTGCCAGTTTCTCGAGTTTCGTCCGTTCCATTTTCGGCATTGAAGCTGTCTCTGCCAAATGATTCGTCAACTCGGGTTTCGCAGAATAAAACTCAATTTTCGCCAACTCCCACGCTGTCGCCAAAACCAGTTCCCAAGGTTGGATCTGCGCGAAAACCTTCCGCTGCGCGTGCGCCAACTTCCGCGCTCGTTGTTCCGCATAACACCTCAGCCGCAACCCCAACTGCACCATGGCGGAAGGACGAGGAGACTGTGGATACAATGCAGGGTGATTTTCCCTGCAAAAACCCGACTACTCTCAAAGGAAAAGAGCCTTCTTGGAATAACCTGGTTTCTCTTTGCGACCTGGATGACGCACAGCTGACGGCTGGTGCTGACGCCAGCGAAACGGCGGATGACGTCAGCGCGAGTCGTCTGAGCGGCTACGGAAGCGGCCAATGTGAAGCTGATTCCAGCACGGAGGAGGGAGATGCTAATAACGAGGATGGGGCGAACGGACATTTTGGCCTGGAGCTGGGTACTGGGCTGTTTGCTATGGAGAGAACTGAAGTGGAGGGGACTAAAAAGGAGGGGATTGAAACGGAGGGGATGGAAGAGAAGGCATCAGAAGAAACTTGTCTTGATGGGGCTGGCAAGGAGGAACAGAATGAGGGCCTATTGACCCGAGAAGACGAGAAAAACAACCGCGACAAGGTAGCCGACAGCTTTATCGCATCAGCATTGCTCGATCATGAGCCGTTGGCGCTGCAGCCGTCTTCAAATCCACCTGTTTTTTTCAACTATGCACGCACGACTACCCCTGCCTCCACCTCCCTTGTCTCTGCTTCTCCCTCTGCCTGTGCCGAACGCACGCCTGTTGCTGCCGCTGCCTGTGCCACGTCAGCATCCGTGTTTCTCCCCACCCCCATGGAGCCCACCGTTCCCAGCTGGCATGTGGTAACAGGGTTGCCAGCTCTGGTGCTCCCCCCTCCTGGCGGCTACGCCAGCACGAGCAGTGATGATTGCAACTGTGGGTGCAGCATGGGTTACGACACTGGTTACCACACAGTCTTAAACGATGACTGCAAGGGAGATTGCAAGGGGGAGTGCAACAGCAGAGGTTCATCCTGCCTGTATGAGTCCACCGTTCCCCCTGGCTTGCCAAGCACGCCCCCCCGACACGACACCATGATGTTTCCCGTGTTTCCCCCGTGTGGAACCAACTCAGAGGAGCAGCGGCAGTTTAAGGCGACTGCTGCCAGGGGGACAATTATAGGCGCTGCTCAGAATGTTTTCACTGTCAAGAAAGAGGAGAAAGTTGACCTGGACGCTGACATGGATGCTGACGTGGGCGCTGACGTGGCTGCTGACGTGGACGCGAGCAGCAGAGCGACTCGGGGATACGGGTACTCGAAGCCAGGGAGTGGAGGAGCGGTGCCAAGGACTGCTGCTGCCATGCAGAAATCCAGGCGGTGAGTCCTCCGCTCCCGTCCCCTCCACCCGGCCTGCTATCCCAAAGAGTGCAGCAGCTCAGCAGCATCAGCCATGCGCATTTGCATGTACCCATGTCCCCGTGTCAAGCATCCCCATGCTTATGCTGTCTCACCGTCTCCCCCATCCCATCCCATGGTTGCTCTCATGATGTGCAGGCGGGCGGCCAACAGAGCGTCAGCCAAGCGCATCCGCATTCGACAGCAGCAGCACCTGCAGAAACTGGAATGCGAGGTACGGTACCCCCTAGAGTTGTCTTTTTGGGATATGCTTTTTGAGTCGCATGCAACAGATAACAGCGGCAACTAGTGTGGCTGGAATGCGGGGTCTGACTGACACCCCCTCTTAAAACTTCTATTTTGAATACCCCTTTTAATTCCAACCCGTTTCTTAAGTTACCCTGACATGCATTCCCCCCTTGCCAATGTTTTAACAACCGCACCACAACAATCACATCAACCACAATAGACACGCGAGCCAATAGCTCCCTGCATGTCACTGAGCGGTGCCATCCTCACCCTCTTTCTCTCGCCCCCTCTTTCTCTGGCCCCCTCTTTCTCTCGCCCCCTCTCTCTCTGGCCCCCTCTTTCTCTCGCCCCCTCTCTCTCTGGCCCTTGTTCCAAATGTTACCATGATTACTCCAGACGCGTGAGCTCACAGCGCTGTGCAAGGCGATGAGAGCGGACCTGGCAGAGGCGAGCCGGCAGGTGGCGGTTCAGAGGAAGCGCAACGAGGCTCTGATGGGGGAAAAGCAGCGGCTGCTGCTGCTGCTGGGGGAGAGATAGAGTGACTGCTGGGTTGTTGCGTGCGGCAGCTCATGTCATCTTGTGAGGAGCCTCAAACTACGAGAGAGACCCGCTTGTTGCACGTGACAAGTCTCCAGCCAACACGTGCACAGCTCTGCACCACTCTCCAAAACGATAAAAGCAGAACTGGCAGAGGCGAGCAGGCAGGAGGCGGCTCAGATGAAGCGGAACGAGGCGCTGGTGGAGGAGAAGCAGCGGCTGCCGCTGCTGCTGGGGGAGAGATAGACCAGTGGGCTGCTGGGCTGCTGAAATCTATTATCACCATTCATGGTGTGAGGCGCCTCAAAGCAGAGTTGACTTTTGAGTCGACTCAAGAGTCATCGTGGTATCAGGCGCCTCAAAGCAGAAAGAAGCGGAACAAGGCTCCTCTGCTGGAGTGGAGGAGAAGCAGCGGCTGCTGCTGCTGCTGAGGGAGAGATAAACGAGCGGGCTGCTGGAATTTATTAGGGTAAGGTCACTCATGAGATGCCTCCATCCACTCATCTGCACGTGACTCACGCCTCCTGTCCCGTCCCGTGCTAAGGAAATGTCTATCTGCTGGGATGCGATGCGATGCTGCAGCCGGCATCTCAGGTCAAAAGCTCAAGTGCGGATGTATAGGTGTCTGGGAGTTGAGTATAGTGCAGAGTCTACTCGTAGCATGGAAGAAGACAGACACTCTGACGGTAGAATACTCAGCTTTGAAAAGGTCCAATCCATTCCATTATCCAGCCAAGCTTGGTTACTGCACTCTTGGTACCGTAAATGCTTTGTGGAGAAGTGCTTGCGAACAATGCCCCCCATTTGCGAACAGACAACTCGTGGTACCGTAAATGCTTTGTGGAGAAGTGCTGCATGTAACGTCTTGACAACACCCCCTATTTAGCTTGTTGACAGACAGCCCAATGATGTTGCCGAAACCTGTCTTTTAAACCTCCATTTGGGCTTCGTGGTGAGGTGAGGTAAGGTGAGGTGAGGTGAGGTGAGGTGAGGTGAGGTGAGGTGAGTCCATGTAGATAATACTCTTGTGGGGACTGGACTGGAGCCACATGATTACAAACACCTGTAGAGGCAGCCATAGGCAGCCACATCTCTGCACTATCACACCAACAATAGCACTGTAACGAATCACACACTAGAGGATTAACCCCAGGCCCGGCCCATTCCAAATGATGGCTCTGTCGTCTGAGGCGCCTCAGAAGTTAAGTTTTGGGCACCAGTCTCGTTCCATGCCTCTCCTACCTCTGCTGCCTCCTGCTTCCCATACTCTCATCGCCCCTTACCCGCTCGCCCTCTTCCTCCTGCTTCCCATACTCTCATCGCCCCTTACCCGCTCGCCCTCTTCCTCCTGCTTCCCATACTCTCATCGCCCCTTACCCGCTCGCCCTCTTCCTCCTGCTTCCCATACTCTCATCGCCCCTTACCCGCTCGCCCTCTTCCTCCTGCTTCCCATACTCTCATCGCCCCTTACCCGCTCGCCCTCTTCCTCCTGCTTCCCATACTCTCATCGCCCCTTACCCGCTCGCCCTCTTCCTCCTGCTTCCCATACTCTCATCGCCCCTTACCCGCTCGCCCTCTTCCTCCTGCTTCCCATACTCTCATCGCCCCTTACCCGCTCGCCCTCTTCCTCCTGCTTCCCATACTCTCATCGCCCCTTACCCGCTCGCCCTCTTCCTCCTGCTTCCCATACTCTCATCGCCCCTTACCCGCTCGCCCTCTTCCTCCTGCTTCCCATACTCTCATCGCCCCTTACCCGCTCGCCCTCTTCCTCCTGCTTCCCATACTCTCATCGCCCCTTAACCGCTCGTCCTCTTCCTCCTGCTTCCCATACTCTCATCGCCCCTTACCCGCTCGCCCTCTTCCTCCTGCTTCCCATACTCTCATCGCCCCTTACCCGCTCGCCCTCTTCCTCCTGCTTCCCATACTCTCATCGCCCCTTACCCGCTCGCCCTCTTCCTCCTGCTTCCCATACTCTCATCGCCCCTTACCCGCTCGCCCTCTTCCTCCTGCTTCCCATACTCTCATCGCCCCTTACCCGCTCGCCCTCTTCCTCCTGCTTCCCATACTCTCATCGCCCCTTACCCGCTCGCCCTCTTCCTCCTGCTTCCCATACTCTCATCGCCCCTTACCCGCTCGCCCTCTTCCTCCTGCTTCCCATACTCTCATCGCCCCTTACCCGCTCGCCCTCTTCCTCCTGCTTCCCATACTCTCATCGCCCCTTACCCGCTCGCCCTCTTCCTCCTGCTTCCCATACTCTCATCGCCCCTTACCCGCTCGCCCTCTTCCTCCTGCTTCCCATACTCTCATCGCCCCTTACCCGCTCGCCCTCTTCCTCCTGCTTCCCATACTCTCATCGCCCCTTACCCGCTCGCCCTCTTCCTCCTGCTTCCCATACTCTCATCGCCCCTTACCCGCTCGCCCTCTTCCTCCTGCTTCCCATACGATCATCGCCCCTTACCCGCTCGCCCTCTTCCTCCTGCTTCCCATACTCTCATCGCCCCTTACCCGCTCGCCCTCTTCCTCCTGCTTCCCATACTCTCATCGCCCCTTAACCGCTCGTCCTCTTCCTCCTGCTTCCCATACTCTCATCGCCCCTTACCCGCTCGCCCTCTTCCTCCTGCTTCCCATACTCTCATCGCCCCTTACCCGCTCGCCCTCTTCCTCCTGCTTCCCATACTCTCATCGCCCCTTACCCGCTCGCCCTCTTCCTCCTGCTTCCCATACTCTCATCGCCCCTTACCCGCTCGCCCTCTTCCTCCTGCTTCCCATACTCTCATCGCCCCTTACCCGCTCGCCCTCTTCCTCCTGCTTCCCATACTCTCATCGCCCCTTACCCGCTCGCCCTCTTCCTCCTGCTTCCCATACTCTCATCGCCCCTTACCCGCTCGCCCTCTTCCTCCTGCTTCCCATACTCTCATCGCCCCTTACCCGCTCGCCCTCTTCCTCCTGCTTCCCATACTCTCATCGCCCCTTACCCGCTCGCCCTCTTCCTCCTGCTTCCCATACTCTCATCGCCCCTTACCCGCTCGCCCTCTTCCTCCTGCTTCCCATACTCTCATCGCCCCTTACCCGCTCGCCCTCTTCCTCCTGCTTCCCATACTCTCATCGCCCCTTACCCGCTCGCCCTCTTCCTCCTGCTTCCCATACTCTCATCGCCCCTTACCCGCTCGCCCTCTTCCTCCTGCTTCCCATACTCTCATCGCCCCTTACCCGCTCGCCCTCTTCCTCCTGCTTCCCATACTCTCATCGCCCCTTACCCGCTCGCCCTCTTCCTCCTGCTTCCCATACTCTCATCGCCCCTTACCCGCTCGCCCTCTTCCTCCTGCTTCCCATACTCTCATCGCCCCTTACCCGCTCGCCCTCTTCCTCCTGCTTCCCATACTCTCATCGCCCCTTACCCGCTCGCCCTCTTCCTCCTGCTTCCCATACTCTCATCGCCCCTTACCCGCTCGCCCTCTTCCTCCTGCTTCCCATACTCTCATCGCCCCTTACCCGCTCGCCCTCTTCCTCCTGCTTCCCATACTCTCATCGCCCCTTACCCGCTCGCCCTCTTCCTCCTGCTTCCCATACTCTCATCGCCCCTTACCCGCTCGCCCTCTTCCTCCTGCTTCCCATACTCTCATCGCCCCTTACCCGCTCGCCCTCTTCCTCCTGCTTCCCATACTCTCATCGCCCCTTACCCGCTCGCCCTCTTCCTCCTGCTTCCCATACTCTCATCGCCCCTTACCCGCTCGCCCTCTTCCTCCTGCTTCCCATACTCTCATCGCCCCTTACCCGCTCGCCCTCTTCCTCCTGCTTCCCATACTCTCATCGCCCCTTACCCGCTCGCCCTCTTCCTCCTGCTTCCCATACTCTCATCGCCCCTTACCCGCTCGCCCTCTTCCTCCTGCTTCCCATACTCTCATCGCCCCTTACCCGCTCGCCCTCTTCCTCCTGCTTCCCATACTCTCATCGCCCCTTACCCGCTCGCCCTCTTCCTCCTGCTTCCCATACTCTCATCGCCCCTTACCCGCTCGCCCTCTTCCTCCTGCTTCCCATACTCTCATCGCCCCTTACCCGCTCGCCCTCTTCCTCCTGCTTCCCATACTCTCATCGCCCCTTACCCGCTCGCCCTCTTCCTCCTGCTTCCCATACTCTCATCGCCCCTTACCCGCTCGCCCTCTTCCTCCTGCTTCCCATACTCTCATCGCCCCTTACCCGCTCGCCCTCTTCCTCCTGCTTCCCATACTCTCATCGCCCCTTACCCGCTCGCCCTCTTCCTCCTGCTTCCCATACTCTCATCGCCCCTTACCCGCTCGCCCTCTTCCTCCTGCTTCCCATACTCTCATCGCCCCTTACCCGCTCGCCCTCTTCCTCCTGCTTCCCATACTCTCATCGCCCCTTACCCGCTCGCCCTCTTCCTCCTGCTTCCCATACTCTCATCGCCCCTTACCCGCTCGCCCTCTTCCTCCTGCTTCCCATACTCTCATCGCCCCTTACCCGCTCGCCCTCTTCCTCCTGCTTCCCATACTCTCATCGCCCCTTACCCGCTCGCCCTCTTCCTCCTGCTTCCCATACTCTCATCGCCCCTTACCCGCTCGCCCTCTTCCTCCTGCTTCCCATACTCTCATCGCCCCTTACCCGCTCGCCCTCTTCCTCCTGCTTCCCATACTCTCATCGCCCCTTACCCGCTCGCCCTCTTCCTCCTGCTTCCCATACTCTCATCGCCCCTTACCCGCTCGCCCTCTTCCTCCTGCTTCCCATACTCTCATCGCCCCTTACCCGCTCGCCCTCTTCCTCCTGCTTCCCATACTCTCATCGCCCCTTACCCGCTCGCCCTCTTCCTCCTGCTTCCCATACTCTCATCGCCCCTTACCCGCTCGCCCTCTTCCTCCTGCTTCCCATACTCTCATCGCCCCTTACCCGCTCGCCCTCTTCCTCCTGCTTCCCATACTCTCATCGCCCCTTACCCGCTCGCCCTCTTCCTCCTGCTTCCCATACTCTCATCGCCCCTTACCCGCTCGCCCTCTTCCTCCTGCTTCCCATACTCTCATCGCCCCTTACCCGCTCGCCCTCTTCCTCCTGCTTCCCATACTCTCATCGCCCCTTACCCGCTCGCCCTCTTCCTCCTGCTTCCCATACTCTCATCGCCCCTTACCCGCTCGCCCTCTTCCTCCTGCTTCCCATACTCTCATCGCCCCTTACCCGCTCGCCCTCTTCCTCCTGCTTCCCATACTCTCATCGCCCCTTACCCGCTCGCCCTCTTCCTCCTGCTTCCCATACTCTCATCGCCCCTTACCCGCTCGCCCTCTTCCTCTTGCTTCCCATACTCTCATCGCCCCTTACCCGCTCGCCCTCTTCCTCCTGCTTCCCATACTCTCATCGCCCCTTACCCGCTCGCCCTCTTCCTCCTGCTTCCCATACTCTCATCGCCCCTTACCCGCTCGCCCTCTTCCTCCTGCTTCCCATACTCTCATCGCCCCTTACCCGCTCGCCCTCTTCCTCCTGCTTCCCATACTCTCATCGCCCCTTACCCGCTCGCCCTCTTCCTCCTGCTTCCCATACTCTCATCGCCCCTTACCCGCTCGCCCTCTTCCTCCTGCTTCCCATACTCTCATCGCCCCTTACCCGCTCGCCCTCTTCCTCCTGCTTCCCATACTCTCATCGCCCCTTACCCGCTCGCCCTCTTCCTCCTGCTTCCCATACTCTCATCGCCCCTTACCCGCTCGCCCTCTTCCTCCTGCTTCCCATACTCTCATCGCCCCTTACCCGCTCGCCCTCTTCCTCCTGCTTCCCATACTCTCATCGCCCCTTACCCGCTCGCCCTCTTCCTCCTGCTTCCCATACTCTCATCGCCCCTTACCCGCTCGCCCTCTTCCTCCTGCTTCCCATACTCTCATCGCCCCTTACCCGCTCGCCCTCTTCCTCCTGCTTCCCATACTCTCATCGCCCCTTACCCGCTCGCCCTCTTCCTCCTGCTTCCCATACTCTCATCGCCCCTTACCCGCTCGCCCTCTTCCTCCTGCTTCCCATACTCTCATCGCCCCTTACCCGCTCGCCCTCTTCCTCCTGCTTCCCATACTCTCATCGCCCCTTACCCGCTCGCCCTCTTCCTCCTGCTTCCCATACTCTCATCGCCCCTTACCCGCTCGCCCTCTTCCTCCTGCTTCCCATACTCTCATCGCCCCTTACCCGCTCGCCCTCTTCCTCCTGCTTCCCATACTCTCATCGCCCCTTACCTGCTCGCCCTCTTCCTCCTGCTTCCCATACTCTCATCGCCCCTTACCCGCTCGCCCTCTTCCTCCTGCTTCCCATACTCTCATCGCCCCTTACCCGCTCGCCCTCTTCCTCCTGCTTCCCATACTCTCATCGCCCCTTACCCGCTCGCCCTCTTCCTCCTGCTTCCCATACTCTCATCGCCCCTTACCCGCTCGCCCTCTTCCTCCTGCTTCCCATACTCTCATCGCCCCTTACCCGCTCGCCCTCTTCCTCCTGCTTCCCATACTCTCATCGCCCCTTACCCGCTCGCCCTCTTCCTCCTGCTTCCCATACTCTCATCGCCCCTTACCCGCTCGCCCTCTTCCTCCTGCTTCCCATACTCTCATCGCCCCTTACCCGCTCGCCCTCTTCCTCCTGCTTCCCATACTCTCATCGCCCCTTACCCGCTCGCCCTCTTCCTCCTGCTTCCCATACTCTCATCGCCCCTTACCCGCTCGCCCTCTTCCTCCTGCTTCCCATACTCTCATCGCCCCTTACCCGCTCGCCCTCTTCCTCCTGCTTCCCATACTCTCATCGCCCCTTACCCGCTCGCCCTCTTCCTCCTGCACCTCCGTCTTGCCTTGCCTCCTGCCTTGCCTCTGCTGCCTCCTGCTCTCATCGCCCCTTCCCCACTCGCCCTGCACTGCCACTCCCTGCCTTTGCTCCTCCGCCTCCTCCCTTTGCTCCTCCACCTCCTCCCCCCGCACCTGCCCCCTTCTGTAGAAAGGCCTCCAGCTCTCGTATTTTTGCCTTTTTGGAGTTGAGAACTAGCAGGAACTGCAGAGGGGTGCAAAGGGGTGCAGCGGGGTGCAGAGAGATGTGAGACGTCCCAAGCCTCCTCCATTTCCCCCCCCCGCACCTGTGCCCCCCTGTAGAGAAGCCTCGAGCTCTCGTACTTTTGCTTTCTTGGCGTTGAGAACTAGAAGGAACTACAGGGGGGTGCAAAGCGTTGCAGAGAGAGAGATTCCCATGCACGCACAACTACGATTTCAGGCATCAACTTTCCAAGCACCGGGAAAACAAACAAAAAGGGGGCTCAAGTAGAGAAAGATTGAGTCTGCTTTTGAGTCGTCTAAAATCCAAAAAGGCGGCTCAAGTGGAGAAAGACTGAGCAGTGCAAACAAACAAAGCAGACAAAGCAAACGAAGCAGCGCTGCTGTAAGGCGCCTCCTTCCCATCCCTGATGCACTGCACAGTACAGCCACAACCTCACTCTCCGCGGCCTCCTCAACCCTCTCAACCCTCTCAACCTTCTCAACCCTCTCAACCTTCTCAACCCTCTCAACCTCCCCACTCTCCTCAGAATCCTCAAACCTCTGCCTCCTCACACCACACCCCTCATGCACCTCACACCCCTCACGCCCCTCACACCCCTCATGCCCCTCACACCCCTCATGCCCCTCACACCCCTCATGCCCCTCACACCCCTCATGCCCCTCACACCCCTCACGCCCCTCCTCATACCCCCACATACCCCCACACTCACAGTGCCTTGCCCGCATCCCTCAACCCACAACATAAGAAGCTACACTATTAAGCACACCGTTACGATCACACCGTTACAATCACACCGTTACAATCACACTGTTGCATTCCACCGTTACAGGCACACCGCTACAAGCACACCCGACCGCACACACAGCACACACACCTTCCCCAGCAGCTCGTCCTCCAGGCGGCTCTTCTCCTCTCTGAACCGCTCGCTCTGCTGTAAGCACCGCTCTGCCTCCCTCTGCATCCTCCCACATGCCTCCCTGCTGCGCTGCTGCTCTGCCTGTGAACAAGAGAGGGTGGAAAACGGGAAAAAAAAGGGGGGGGGAAGGGGAAGAGGCAGGGGAGGAGAATGGGAGGGGGGGGGAGAAGAGGAGGTAGAGTGTACACGAGCTGAAATGCAGCCTCCCACATGCCTCATTCTGAGGCGCTTTAAAAAAAGAGATTGGGGGGGGGAGGAGGTAGTGGATACACAAGCTCAACTGCAGCCTCCCACATGCCTCTTTCTGAGGCGCTTTACAAAAAGAGATTGGGGGGGAAGGGAAGAATAGGATACACAAGCTGAACTGCAGTTGAGCACTGCTCCCACATGCCTCCCTTCTGCAATGCTGCTCCTCGAACGGACTGCCATGCTATGCCTGCATGCCTGCCTGCCTGCAGCGATATGCATGCTGTGACATGCATGCTATGACAATGACATGCACAAATCACCAGAGAAGCAGCAGCGGCAGCAGCAGCAGCGGCAGCAGAAGCGGCAGCAGCAGCAGCGGCAGCAGCAGCGGCGGCGGCGGCGGCGGCAGCAGCAGCAGCAGCATCGAGAATGCGCCCCACCGCTGCTCGCTGCTGCTCCTGCCATGCCACGCCATGCCATGCCACGCGATTCCACGCCACGCCATGCCACGCCACGCCATGCCACGCCACGCCATGCCACGCCACGCCATGCACCCACCCCACAACACCCCGCCTGTGCAGCAGCAGCCCCTCGCAAGGCTACATCGAGAATGCGCCTCACTGCTGCTCGCTGCTGCTCCTCGCCCTCTCTGCCATGCCACCTCATATACACCCCCACACCCACCCTCACCCCACCTGTGCAACAGCCGCCCCGCTCATGGCTTCATCGAGTATCCGTCGCACTGCTGCTCGCTGCTGCTCCTCGCCCTCCACTGCCCTCAGCTGCACACTCGGCCTCATCTCCACGCCTGTCCGCTGCACTGCCCATGCGAGCTGAGAAGGGAAGAGGAAGGGGGCGAGGCAAGGAGCACTTGGGCTGCTGAGTGCTTCAAGGGCAGACCAGGTCACTGCTGCCACCGCTCTCAGCAACACCATGCTCGCCCTCAGCTCTAACTCTGCCCGCTGTACTGCCTATGCGAGCTGAGAAAAGGGGGGAGAAGAGGTGGGAACGGGGAGCAAACGGGGAGGTGGGGAGGGGGAAGAAAATGGGGAAGAATGAGTCGGTTCTTATGCTTGACAGCCATCCTACCCAGGCAGCTACAGCTATCCAATCAGTCAGCTACAGCCATCCTACCCAGTCGGCTACAGCCATCCTACCCAGTCGGCTACAGCCATCCTACCCAGTCGGCTACAGCCATCCTACCCAGTCGGCTACAGCCATCCTACCCAGTCGGCAGACATGCAATGCGCACCTGCCACGTGGCAGGCTGCTCTTGAGATGCTCGGGCTCTCTTGGTGCGCCGGCCCCATGTGAAGCGGAGCGATGCGGATGGCTGGTGGGGAAGGGGATGGAGGAGAGGAGAGGGGACGAGAGGAGACGAGAGGAGAGGAGAGGAGAGGAGAGGAGAGGAGAGGAGAGGAGGAAAAGAAAGGTGGGGGTGTGAAACGAAGTTGAACGAGGGAATGAGAAAGGAGGGTGAGAGAAGGAATGGTTTCTTCAGCTGCTCGAAATTTATTCCCAGGTCGTGGGGTGGGGTGCGAAGATTTGATGGATGATGTGGAATCTAAGTGTTTTGAGACGTCTCAAAACGGTTTCTTCAGCTGCTAAAACATTATTCCCAGCTGGTGGGGTGCGGAGATTTGATGGATGATGTGGAACCTAAGTGTTTTGAGACGTCTCTAAACGGTTTCTTCAGCTGCTAAAACATTATTCCCAGCTGGTGGGGTGCAGAGATTTGATGGATGATGTGGAATCTAAGTGGTGCTTCGGTGGGAATGTATAGTAAGAGTAACAGCTGCTGATAGAACGTGTCTGTTGAATTCACCTGAGACAGAGCCGGTCGGAGCACGTCTCTGTTGTATTCACCTGGCGCCTGAAACCCCCATGCCTCGGCCTTCTCCCACATCTCCTCCTCCTCCACTGCCCATGAATTCGAGAGGGAAGAAACGAGCGGGCGAGGGGGAGGCTGTAGCAGAGCTGGAGTGAAAGAATTATGAAGACGTCTCAAAAGACGAGGCTGTAGCAGAAATGAGTGGAGGACTTTGGATTGGAGGCGTCCCAGAAAGGGAGGCTGTAGCGGAGATGGAGTGGAGGAACGAACGAAGCAGCCCATGTAACCCCACTGCCTGCCACCAAGGTATGCAGCATTTTGAGGCGCCTCAAAGGTCATTGTGGCATCGTTTGAGGCGCCTCAAAGGTCATCGTGGCATCTTTTGAGAGGAATCAAAAGTAACCCCACTGCCTGCCTGCCAGCAACACATGCAGCAACTGAGTGACGGGCTGACTTGCTCACTCACTCACTCCTCATCACTCACTCGCTCACTCCTCATCACCCCCTCACTCAGTCCTCGTCACTCCCTCACTCACTCCTCATCACTACTCACTCCCCATCACTCCCTCACTCACTCCTCATCACTCCCTCACTCACTCCTCATCACTAGTACCTCACTCACCCTCATCACTCCCTCACTCACAGCAATACGTTCAGGAAGAGCGGCCGTCACTGACTGACTGACTGACGGGCGGACGGAAGGACTGACTGACGGAATGACTGACGAGCTGACGGAATGACTGACTGACTGACCGCAGCCCGTCCAAGCGGAGCGGCCGTCGCTGACAGTCAGCTCGCAGCGCGCCTCTCCCCACCGCGACAGCACATACAGCCGGCTCGCCTCGCCGTCGGCCGTCAACTCTAACCGCGCGCAGCACGTGTCGCCGGCAGCGTCGCTGTCCGTCCCTGGCCGGCCACCGTCAGGCCTAGCGGCGGACATCGCACGAATGACAGGAGGTGGCGTGAAGAGGGTCAATGGGGGAGAGCGTCGCTAAACGAGTTTTGAAGCGTCCTTATACGCGGATGCGTCGAAAGCGATCACAGCTGCGAGCAAGCTCAGGTGGCGAAATTGACTGGTTGGCAATTAGTTAGAGCAGCAGGCGGCAGAAAGGTAAGAGCTAGAACTGGATGCAAATTAAAACCCACTATTACCGAAGTCATCGTTAACCAAATAAGTGCAACGTTTGTTCAGCGCTTGCTTTGCCGACTGCTGGGTATATGAAAGTGGTTCTGACCGATTATCGAGGGCTGACAATAACGAGTGACTCGAATTTAGGGTTGTGTAAGGAATTTTCTCGGCATTCCTTACGGAGCCCGACTACATCGCGTACAGCAACAGCCGTTGTTCGCCCGTTACTGCTAACGGAACTTCGCCGACTTCGCGCGCACTGTTTCACCAAACCTCGCACTGCTGGCCCGGCCGTGTCGGCCTACGCTTCGGGACTAGCCCGAGCCTCGCTGCCAGCATAGCACTAGCTAGCTCGCACGCACCGCGTTACCGTTTGCATGCTTCGCATATAAATGTTCGCTCATGCCTTCTCTCACATCTTTGTACTCGTTTGACACCTTAGTGCAATTCTCGCTACTTCGATTCATTGCACCCGTAACACTTGGTATTCAGAGCCCCTTTCTTTCGGACCGCGCATCTCCGCACCCCAAGAAATCAACTTTTGATTTTTCACTCGAAGGGACTTGCGTACCTTAGCACCTAGGAGCCGCTGTCCTCGCGTTCTCTCGTAAACGCGTACAGCCACGACTGCGCCTAGACTAAGACGAGCCGACGTCCTTCGAAATGGCCGAACACATCGACATCACGACTCTCACGCAGGAGAATTTGAACGATCTGCTGCGACAAATCCGCGAGAGCGCCGAGGAAATTGCGACGCTGACGGCAGAACGCTCGTCCCTACAAAACGACCTCACAAGGGCACAATCCCAAGCACCTGGCACTCCGATTCAGCCCACACCACAGACATCACAGCACGGAAGTGTGGGGCAACCCGCGAGCGCGGCCAGTGATGGCGTCGTCCGCCCCGACGGAGACGACGACCACGGCACGACACACCCCGGAGCGACGAATGCGGCCCCAAGTCAACCTCGCGTCACGATTTCGGCACCGACCCACGATTCGGGACTGCCGTCACCGATGTCGCTGAAGCCGCAGCGTCCGCCATGCTTTGACCCGAGTCAACGGGGTGGTCCTACCGTTCAGGCGTGATTGTTCACGATGAACGTGTTTTTCGACGCCAACTACGTCTCGGAGGATTCGGCGAAAATTCGCTACGCCGTGTCGCTGCTGCGAGGACCCGCCATGGACTGGTGGCGCGTCATCGTCACGAAGCCGAATGACTACGCGACTCTACCGACACGGGAAGGACAAACCGGACCCTGGGCGCCGTCGTATTTCGTGGAGGTGCCCCAATATCGCACGTGGGACGCGTGGTGCGCAGGTCTGCGCGCTCGATTTGAGCCAATTGCGGCTTCGATCGCGGCGCGACAGAAGCTCCGCACTTGGCGCCAACTCGGTTCCGTCCAGGACTACACCAGCGGGTTTCTGGCGCTATGCGAGCAAGTGGGCTACATGCATGAGAGCGAGCGCATCGACCGCTACATCGGCGGCCTGAAGCAAGACATCGCTCAAGAAATTCAGCTCCGCGGCGTCACCGATTTTCAGGAGATTCTCGCTATGGCGGAGAAGCTCGACTTCTGCCGCCGACCGAGACCGGGGTCCTACGGCAGTAGCAGCAACTGGGGACATCGGTCTCGTGGGACGAACGAGGGCGCTACGATACGTGCCGTCGCCGCGAATGCCGCTGCCGCACCGTTCAAAGGGCGCTGCTTCGCGTGTAATCGGCCGGGACACCGCAAGAGCGAATGCCCGGAAAACGCTAAGGGAAAGGGGGAAGCTGAGCAGCAGAAACAGACCAAGCAGCAGGGAAACGCTGGGAGTCAGTAGCAGACGGGCCCTCTACTGACAGGTCACGCCGCTCGCCCGACCCAACCGACCCTCACCGAGTGATTGTGCCGGTTCACGCAATCGACCACACCCGGCCGAATAAGGAGGGTACTACGGTAGACAGCCCTATACTGCTTAGTGGGAAAATCGGGACGGACTTAGTTAAAATCTTCGTAGACGGGGGAGCCAGCCACAGCCTCATCAACACTGTTACAGCACGAAAACTGCGACTGCCACTGGACAGATGTTTACCTGAGATCGACGCACGACTAGTAGACGGCACGCCGCTGGCAATACGGGAACGCGTAGACCGGGTTCGGATTCGATGCGGGGGTAACTTCACATTTAGCCAAGAAATGCTCGCAACGACCCTCGACGGAACCGATATTTTACTCGCGCGTGATTGGTTGCGACGACACAATCCGCGAATCGACTGGACGACGGGTGACTGCACCGTGCGAGTGAACGGTAACCACATCGCCCTACCTCGCTGGGGCTCGCCTGAGTCTTCGTCGGTGCGTGTCAACGCGATCACGATGAAACGCGCCGTAGCGGCGGGAGCTGACGTGTACGCGGTCGACATTCGGGAAGCCGAGGCAGCAGACAAGGGAGGGGATTTGCTGAAACTGCTGACCGACGTACCGAGTGACCTGGCAGCACTGTTGAAGCAGTACAGCGACATTTTCCCGGACGACTTACCGACGGGACTGCCACCTCAGCGACCGCACGATCACAGAATAGAATTGGAACCGGGGGCACAGCCAACAGTACAGCGACAGTTCCGACTGACCCAGCCCGAACTGGACGAACTGAGGAAGCAGCTCGATTACCTGCTCGAGAAGGAGTTCATTCGCCCTAGTTCGTCGCCTTTCGCAGCACCGATACTGTTTACACCGAAAAAAGACGGGGGATTTCGCATGTGCGTCGATTACAGAGCACTGAACAGGGTTACCATCAAATCCCGTTACCCCATCCCACGAGCCGACGAACTGATCGACCAACTGCGCACAGCCCGGGTTTTCTCGAAAATCGACCTCCGGGGGGGTTACCATCAGATTCGTGTCAATCCGCCCGACTGCCCTAAAACCGCATTCCGAACACGCTACGGATCCTTCGAATACACCGTCATGCCCTTCGGACTGACCAACGCCCCCGCCACTTTCCAAATGACCATGAACAAAGCTTTCCGCCCACTCTTAGATAAGTGCGTCATAGTATACCTGGACGACATACTGATTTACAGCCCTGACAGAGCACAGCACTTACAGGACATCGAAGCAGTTTTTAAAATACTGAGTGAGAACCGCCTACTGACAAAAGCGTCTAAGTGTGAATTTTTACAGGACCGTCTGGAGTTTTTGGGACACGTTATTTCAGCCGCAGGAGTGGAAATAGACCCGAAGAAAATTGCGACGATTCAGGCTTGGCACGCGCCGACCAACTTGACAGAGTTGCAGAGTTTTCTGGGGTTCGTCAACTACGTGCGCCGGTTCGTCCCCGACATGGCGAAGCTGACTGCCCCGTTGACTGACCTGCTGAGGAAGGGGGTTGAGTACACGTGGGGGGAGAAAGAGCAAGCTGCCTTCTCGGCCCTCAAAAACATTTTGTGCTCACCGCACGTGCTTCACATCGCAGATCCACACCGTCCGTTCGAGCTCGTCACTGACGCAAGTGACATCGCTGTGGGAGCAGTACTGTTGCAGGATTTCGGGAACGGCCTCCAGCCAATCGCGTACGAGTCCCGCAAACTGCACCCGCCCGAATGCAACTACCCGATACACGACCGCGAAATGTTGGCGATCGTGCACGCGTTCAAGGTTTGGCGGTGTTACCTGACTGGCGCCGACGTGACAGTACGGACAGACCACCGATCACTACAGTACTTACGCGCCCAACCAAATCTCAATCCGCGACAAATTCGCTGGCTGGACTACCTCGAGTCCAACTTCCACTACACGGTTACGTACAAGAAAGGCGCATCCAACATCGCCGACGCACTCACCCGCCCTACCGCCCAACTCCACACCATCCTACTCGCCCAGACCAACCCGCTGTTAACAGGCCTATTCACCCACGGATACCGCACCGACCCATTTTTCACGACTGGAAACTCACAGCAACTGGCAGAAGCTA